TTCCACCGTTCATTAACATCTGCAGCTGATGTCAGAACAGCAGAAGCCGTTACCAATTCACCAATGTCACTTCAGAACTTGTTTTTGAATGATTTTCTAGCGTAATGTCTAAAGTGATGACAAAGCAGGTCATTTTTGCTCACATTTTAGGATTATAAAGCTGAACGGCATTAAATGCCATCAGTCTACAGTGATTTCTCAGTATTTCTCTGTAGCAATCGGGATATCACAATAATATGCCCGAAAAAGCCAAAGCAAGCACTACTAGTTTCTGTGGTATAAATACAGCACTACAAAATACAAAAGAGAGAGCTCGACTTAGAATGTCACTTACCTGACTTATAATAATTTGTTCAGCTGTTGGTTGAAACCTACTTTGTACGGTGTCCTCTGCTTGTTGCTGTATGTGGGCGGAGTAATACACAAGGGTACTGTTGTGTAAATATATATAAATTGTTCCTGGACTAATTAAGGGTTAAATGACCCTACAAGTTGAATACTGTAAATATCAAAATATAATGAACAGCAAAACACTAAACTAATGTATTTAATTTACTATTACTAATGACAGATAGTAGGTTTTATTTTACCTTTCCAGAAAATGCACAGAAATATAAAAACAACAACAACAAAAATCACAGATTGACTTGATTTGAGAGTTTCTTGATTAGATGTCAAATCATATTGTCATGTATTTACAAACTTGTGTTTTTGAGGGTTACTGAATTGCTGCGTGTGTTGCAGGAAAGGGAGGCTCTTCTAAAGCAGGGCTTCGAGGAAGAGGCCTCCCGAATGCAGAAAGAGATTAACAGTCTGAAAACAGACATGAGTAAACAGGAGGAGTCTAAGCCCTCGACTATGAGAAAGGTTTTAGACGGCATCGGCACTGCAGCCACGTTGTTTTTGCCGGGCTTCATTCCTAAAGCAGCTGGTATTGGTTTATCTTTCTTATCAAGGCTGTTTTGAAAATCTGTTATTTACACTCGCTCTCCTAAACATAGATATAGTTTTTCCAAGACAACTTGAATTCTTTAATAGTTACATATATATACATTTATAGGTGCTGTACTCGCAGATACTATTACATTAATAGCCCAGTAATACAGTATTATCCAAGCAAGTAGGACATTTTGTTATGAATTATGACCAAGGATGTTATTAATATGATTTCAAACTGATATGCATCATTCGTTGAATCCCAGTGTAAATCATCCTGGAACCTGTGGCTGTGTTGTGTTGAGATTATAACACTGGGTGATTATACAGTTTGCTGATTTAAAAAAAAAAAGCTATGTACTGTGTATTGTACTTTTCTTTGTTTATTTAACACTAAATGTTCTTCAACACAGTTTAGAGCAGGGGTGGGCAATCTCGGTCCTGGAGGGCCGGTGTCCTGCACAGTTTAGCTCCAACCCTATTCAAACACACCTCCCTATAGAGTTCAAGTGATCTTGAAGACACTGATTAGTTTGTTCAGGTGTGTTTGACTAGTGTTGGAACAAAACTCTGCAGGGACACCGGCCCTCGAGGATCAAGTTTGTCCATCCCTTGTTTAGAGCATGTTTACTTTCTGTTTGCTTGTGATCAGATAGACGAGAAATGTTCAATCATGCACTGATCATTTTGTTGAGATTAATGATGTCATAATAAACAATGTGGAGTTTCCTTTGTCTGAAAAGTAATAATAATAATAATATATGTGAATAAAATCACAGTTTTTGTTAGTTTTTGTGATATATGAAATGTTTAGTTTGATTTAGACTCCCTGTGTTTTGTACAACACAGCATTATAATCAAGTTCGTAAGATACTATGTTAAGTCTTCATATGTAATCCTGGAATACAAATGTCACAATAAAATACCAATAAAATTTTCCAATAAAATACACTGTATGAATCAAAATGATTTTTCTTTTTTGCAATGATCATTACAAGACACAAGACACATACAAGACATGACACTCGTATAGTTTTGAATGGAGAAAAGTGATGATGGTCAAAATAATGTCAATATTGTGAATGAAGCTCTGCCTACTAGTACTATGTTTCTCTGAGTGGGACTCGGACCAGACGTGTGCTTATACAACAGTTTATCTATTTTATGTTTGTTATCAACAAACATACTGGAATCTCGGCGAATACTTGCTACACAGACATAAAAAATATAAAGCTTTACTTAAATGAACCAAGTGCAATTGAAGACAGAGGTTTTCTGGTTTTGTAATCTGTATGAAATGAACGTGAGGTACAGTCCATCCTTTCATACATCACATGACAGCAGCAACTATAGTTGAGTATGCTAAAACTCCCACAAACTTGTAAACAAAGAGTCGCTGTCTTTTATGGAGGAGATTCACTATCAAGACCAAGTTGTGAATTACTTCAGATGAACAGTGCGATCTGATGAAGCATTATTCAGAGGATAATAATGTGTAACGGCCATAAATGAGGTTGGCGGTATCTTGTTCTTTTCGAGTTTACATTAGCTTGGGCACCGTGAAAATATAAAAATTTTGTTTGAATCGAACATTTAGAAACAACTTATGAGATGATTGTTGTTTAATTTTATTGGTGATTCTAAATATATAATGTAATCGTGAGCTTGGCAAACAATTTTGGAGAGTTTGATGTTTTCCATTCAGACAGAATGCCCAAGCTTACTGCTCGAGAGCCGTTTCAAAGATGGCTGCCGAGTGAAATGACTTGCCTAAAGGGACTTTGGCCTTCATGGAGCATCGTTTGCAAACCACCTACTGTAAATACATTAAAACTAAAATTTGATTAGTAATATGCTTTGCTAAGAACTTAAATGATACATTTAAAGTTGCCCAAATTAAATATTACGTTTTTTTTTATTTTTTTTTATTAACCCTCAGATTCCAGATTTTCAATAGTTGTATCTCGGACATACAGTATATGCAGCAAAAATAATAATGCAGAATTCTCAGTTTCCCAAAATTAACTGTTTAACAGCCTTAAAATGAGAAAACTTGGTCGTACCCATTTAAAGACCCTTTTTGTTACAATGGAAGATTTTACAAACATGCTAGGCACTGCTAAAGAGCCTAATAATTACAATGTAAAATTTTTACTTGGTATTTTTAATAGCCATTATGAGAACAATAAACAAATTACCTACATTTTGAAAAAAAAGAATCTTTGGCTGTGGTGCTTTTCTCTCCCATATTTCAATAGAAGATTTACAGACTTACATTTAGTTTGTTTGACATCTATTTTTAACAGTCTTTGAAATAGTCAATTTGAAACAGAGACCTGGTTTTATCCTGATTCTGCAAAAATATATTATTTTCTCTAGCTCCCTCCCACAGTATTAAAGTTGTCCCGTATCCGCCCGCAAAAACCCACAGGTAAACATATATGGTTTTATTTTCACTGCTTGTTCCCCTGCTACTCTGTTATTTCTTTCACTTATTGCTTCTCATTTAAATTTAAATGAAAAAGGAACAGAAAATAAACAAATGTTTCATTTTATTTTACTTAATTTAAAGGGAATAAAGAACATTTATTTTTCTTTTCTGAACATTGAAATATATAAGAGCAAAATTCTCTGACTTTAAATATCCTACAGTAAATAGACCTTTTAAAATATCAGGATATTTCAAAAACCTGTGAAAATGTACTTTCTGGTTTGACTTCCAAATCAATTTCATGGATTTGCAGTTGCAAGAATTGAGATATTACAAATATTTTGATGTCTTTGACAATTAACCCAAGTGACTTTATCTATCATGTTTGATATCATTTGAAATGTCTCAGTGTGACTGGTATAATGGTCTCATTCTCTCAGAAATAGACACAATCAAAACAATAAATATATAACTTCAGGGACCTTTTGAACCACTGTGAAGGGTGTGCCTTTACTATAGGCAGCACCAAATGCAAATGCCTTTTGTTATACACACACCCCTTTCCTTGGGGGAATTCTTGGATTACTTAAGGTAAGGTTTGAGAAATGTGTGATTCTGCTTACCCAGATCAGCCCGTAACATGGAGCTTACGCTCCATGTTATGTATTTTGAAGTCAGGTATGCATCTTTTAATCTTGGATTTGTCTTTGACAATTTGATGTTTTATATTGATCGTTTATGAATTGACTGAATGAATTGGCATAATACATATTTACCTGACTAATAAATTGTTATGTTTTGAATTATTCAAACAGTCCTCGTGTTATTATCACTGGTAAATATTGTTTTCCATAGCACTACAAGCCACTGTACAGGTTAGTAACGGGCTAAAACACGTTAGACGGAGCAGTGTGGCACGCTATACGATGTTGATGTTGTTAGAGATCCGACTTACACATTGGCATTAATTCAAGTATACTTAGACTGTAAAAGGCCAACAATGGGTTTTCTATTTAGAACAACAAAATATTGTTAAAACTAATTTAAATGTGGGTATTTAGGCCTTCATCTACAAACTTATAATCCTGTGCGATTATTGTTAAAATACTTTGTCTTGATTTAGTAAATAGCAGATCTATGGGGACCACATAAAAAATCTCCTAAACTAAGTCGGGTTCTGCCTTTTTAGGAGAGTGGTTAATCGCCTCTGTTTAATGACAAAGACTGACAAGCTTGTATTAAGAGATTGTATACCCGGCCGGTGCAAGACTCGAGATGCTATCAGAATCTGAATAAATGAGAATAAGGTATAATAACAAATCGAAAGAATATTCAATCATAATCCAAAATAATGTGAAAGGAAACAAAATAACTTTATCAATGTTTTATAATTGGAGTCAGATAAAACGAGGATAAATATATTAATATTCTAAACCACCTCATACTAAAATTGGAGTCAGATATGAGTTAAGTTTAATATAAATCAACATTGTGCACTGGAAAGACCGAACATGCAGTGAACCTTCATCCACCAGTGGAAACCATCATTGGACCAACTGGCTGGACCCTACACAGTGTACATTACATCAATTCTTTTGTCTTGATCAAAGAAAATAAACTTGTGACAACAGAATTTTTTTTTATTAATGAATTTATTAAAATGAACATAATGCTTGAATCCATACATATAATATGGCAGAATGTGCAATCAAGGTGCAATTAAGGGCTATGAAATAATCTTAATATCATTGATTTTTCCATCATCAGAAACAAAGCAGATACTTTCAGTACACACCTATGTGATCTAGGACACCACTTTTTATCAAACTAAATACTATGCTCCTAAATAAACATGATTACATCTGGTAAGCTGTATAAACAGTCAACAGCCAATCAATTGGTCACAACAGGGATTTAAATGTAAACATTAATTATATTTTTACTTTTCCATATTTCATTCCTTTCATCATCACTCTGTAATCAAGAATTGTAGGAAGGATTTGTGCCGCAGCTCCAACAATAGGCATGATGTATTCTTCCATAAATCCTTTCTTCTCTTTTTTCAGATCATTGATTTCCTCAGATAGGAGATCAGCCCTCTCCTTAAAGCCTTTATTCAGCATCTCCTCCTGCTCCTTTAGTTTGCTGTCGATGGCTTTCTCCGTCTCCTGCTGCATTTGCTCTCGTTCCTTCTCAAACTTCTCCTGCATCTGCTTGATTTGGTCATCCTGCCGCACTTTTTCTGCCGCCATCATTCGTTCGCTCTCTATTCGTTTCTCCTGTTCCTCCTCACACTTCTGTTGCATCAAAGCATTCCTCTCCTTCTCCTCTGCAAGTTTAATCAAGATTGAGGAAGAAAAAAACATCAAGATTTAAATGTGGTTAAAATGTTGTGTGTGTGTTTTTTTAATTACAAGTGCTCCAGGGCCAAACGTTTCATTGCAAAGATTTACCTTGAATCTTTTTATCGTTTTCAGTGAGTTTTGTATCTGTGTAGAGGATGCTGTTTGCTTCAGCTCCTCGTTCGTTCAGAAACTCATGCAGCACGGCCTCGGCCTGCACATAAACACACACATACAGACACACCTTAAAGGCACAGCATGTAATTTTCGCCACTAGAGGGTGCATATTCACTACAACCAAATGCATATTTTGATGATGGTGATGTGGAATCATGGGAGTTCTTGTTTTTTTTACATCCTACAGGATTCCTGCTGAAATCATGTTTACTTAATAGGTCACTTCACTACGTCACACTCGCGATCTGATTCGTAGCTGAATGACTTGTCAGAGTGCTCTCTTCAGCCAGTGGCCATCGCCGATTCAACATGCTGAAGTTTTGTCCCACTTCAGCCCGCAAAAACCCACAGGTAAACATATAAAGTAGTTTTATTTTCACTGCTTGTTCTCCCGCTACTCTGCTATTTCTTTCACTTTTTGCTTCTCTTTTGAATTTAAATGAAAAAGAGATGGAAAATAAACAAATATATTTAATTTTATTCGACTTTAATTAAATGGAATGAAGAACATACATGAAAAAGAAGCTTTTCTGAACATTGAAATATATTGAAAAAAAATTCTGACTTTAAATAACTGGAATAGGCCTTTTAAAAATGTAGGATATTCCAGAAATTCCCTGACCCCTGGTATTCCCTGAACTACTGAATATAGGAAGTTTTTTAACACATGAAAAACAGACTTTCTGGTTTGACTTACAAATCAATTTCATGAATTTGCAGTGTACATTAAGTCATTTCTGATGTCCTGATGAAAGAAAATAAATTTATTAATTTGAATCATGGGATGTTGTTTTTTTACTACATTCCACAGGATTCATGCAGAAATCATGTTTACTTGATACAGTAGGTCACTTCACTACGTCACATTCATGCTCTGAATTGTTACTGAGTAACTTGTCAGAGCGCTCTCTTCAGCCAATGACTGACGCCGATTCAACATCCTGAATCAAGGCAACAAGCTCTGATGTTAATCTGACAAGAGGCAATGTGTGGAACACAACAAACCATCTAGCTGCACTATCAAAGCCCAATGGCCAACTGTCGGCTTAGTGTGTCCTGGCTTTAAGGCTGAGAGCTTTTGAAGCTTAAAGTGTAATTTCAATCAATTTACGATGTCGTCCTGTCGGCTTTATCGAACATGGACCTACAGCATGCACTGGGTTGGTTTGATGCCAAGTGTAACCTGACTGGGATGAGAATCAGCACCTCCAAGTCCGAGGTCATGATGCTCCACAGAAAAAAGGTGGAGGAAAGTCCTTACCTTAATTGGAGGAGTTAAAGTATCTTGGGGTTTTGTTCACGAGTGAGGGAAGTATGGATCGTGAGATTGACAGGTGGATTGGTGCAGCGGCAGCAGTAATGTGATTGATGTACCGGTCCGTTGTGGTAAAGAAGGAGCTGAGCCAAAAGGCAAAGCTCTCGATTTATCAGTCAATCTATGCTCCTACTCTCACCTATGGTCATAAGCCTTGGGTCATGACCTAAAGAAGAAGATCTTGGATACAAGCAGCCAAAATAAGTTTCCTTTGCAGGGTGGCAGGGTGCACCCTTATAGATAGGGTGAGGAGCTCTGTAACCTGGGAGGAACTCGAGTAGAGCCGCTGCTCCTCCACATCGAGAGAAGTCAGCTGAGGTGCCTCTGGCATCTGTTTCAGATGCCTCCTGAACTGCTACCTAAGGAGTGGTTTCAGGCATGTCCCACCGAGAGAAGGCCTCAGGGACGACCCAGGACACGCTGGAGGGACTATGGCCCCGTTTACACTGGTGCGTTTTAGTTTTAAAACGGCGTTGTAGAATGAAAACGATCCGCGTCCACACGCGTTTTACCCAGCGTTTCTGAACTGCTCTCCGTCCACACCAAAACGCTGAAAACGCACATCACTTGACCACACAGACACTCTCTGCCAAGCGCTGCAGCCTGTCTACCCAGATGAGAGCTCTGCTAGTCGGACTTCTCATCAAGCATCTCCCGCTGGATCTAATCTCACTATATTTATTAAACGGGATATTTCATTCATCTTGTTGTCTTTATCTAACGACATGTTCCCTGACTTTGGTCATTGGATTTTTTCTCAGGTAACGTGGCTAAGCGCAAAGATAAGTTAATGATTAATGTAACCACGTAGCCTATTCTGTATATTGACTGATCGCATGCCTTTATTTCCTATAATGTAAAAACTTATTGTATGTTATACTTTTATAATGGCCATTATCGATTATTAAAACTGATATTCAGCAAAAGAGAGGGTGTGTTTCGTATTTTCACTGAAATTGAAAGGAGGCAGTTGTTATCGGCTCCGTTTTGTTATAAATATCCACACAGTGAGATGACGCTCATATATGCAGCACGGCGCCTCAACATGTCTGCTGTCTGTTTAGTTGTTAATATCAAAATGAAAATAGGCAGTTCCTTAAATCATGTTTACATTTTATTGTTGAGAAAGTGAAACAACGTAGCCAAGGTGATGTGAATGAAGTTATAAAGTACACTGTTCCCTTTGAAGATTGACGCGTGTCCTCGGTATAGTCCGTTTTCCATATCAAACTGAGAAGAAGAGACTGCAGCCTTGATCAAACTTGCGAAGTCTGAACAAGGAGAAAATGCAGGACTGAACTGTGTGTTTGGCTACTTAATATTCAGGAAAAGCCCCAATCAGAGAGGCGAATGTCTGCAGCCCCGCCTCCGTTTTCAGATGTCTCCGTTTTCAATCATCCACACTGAGACGGAGCAGCAGCGTTTCAGAATGAAAACGGCCTCTCCAGCGTTTTCGAAACGCTCCGTTTTCGGCGCTCGAGAACTCCGGCGTAGTGTGGACGGTTGGCGTAACCGTAGCAAAACTTATGCGTTTTCAAACTAAAACGCATTAGTGTAAACGGGGCCTGAGTCTCATGGCTCGCCTGGGAACGCCTCGGGATCCCCCCGGAGGAGCTGGTGGAAGTGTCTGGAGAGGGGAGTTCTGGGGTTCTCTCGTGAGACTGCTGCCCCGTGACCCGGCCCCAGCAAAAATCAGTTGAAAATGAATGAATGAATGTTCAAAGTGCTTATTTCTCTATATTTTAACATTCTTTAAAACATTTGGGATAAAGTACTTAAGTCAGCAAAATATATAACGCTGTTCTAATTTGTTTTGCTGTTTATTTTATTATCGTGCCTTCAAATAATTGTTCACTTACGAAGTGTATTTTTTTCATACAATGGAAGTCAATGGTAACTTAATTTTTCATCATCTTTCAAAATATCTTCTTTTGTGTAGAAACAGAAGATGAGATCTAATAAGTTTTAGAACTAGTGGAGGCTGAGTAAGTGATAACTGTGTTTACTTTTCTTCTGAAAATGAACTACTCCTTTAAAGCAGAGCTATTATGCAAAAATCCCTTTTATTATCGGTTTAAACACAGTTGTAAGGCAACAGTCTGTCAATATAACCAGCTTCTAATGGTAAAAATTTCTGAAAACAGTCTGCAGAAATACTGATTGTACATGTCATCAGAAGGGAAAATCCCGCTCATTAATGACGATCTCTCTATCATTAGCATAGGACAGTAGTTTTGTTTTTGAAGCTGCCACTATGCTGACACGTTTCCATTTATAGCTCCACTCCATTTTGAGAAGAGGACAATCTCATGTGAATCTAAAGCGACAGACACCATAACAGCACAATTTGGATCAAAGGCTAAAAGGGGTAGTTTATGAAACATTTTCAGTGTGATATTTTGAGCTGAAACTTCACATACACACTCTAGTGATAGGTCTCCTTTAACAATTTTATAAAAATACATGGAGAAAGTGTCCTCACCAGTACACCTTTGTTGGGTTCTCTGCGGTACTTTTCAACGATGACGTCTCTGTCTTTGCAGTAGAGTTCATATCCACCAGGCTGACTGTACACTCCATCCTGCAACTTTTTATTCATTTCAGAGAACAGATCCTTCAGCAGATCTTCACACTTTTTCTTTGATGCCAAGCCATTGTCTTCAAGCAGGCATCCATAGTACACATCGATTTTTTCCTAGAAATACATGCATACACATATGCATAAATCGCATATACATGTGTGTGTGTATTAAGATATATAATTACTTTTTTTTTTTACATTGGAATATTATAACACGTTGCCGCTGGAAGTAAAAACCCGTAAAAATGTGCTGGATAAGTTGGCGGTTCATTCTGATGTGGCGACCCCGGGTTAATAAGGGACTAAGCCGACAAGAAAATGAATGAATGAATATTAAACACTTCAACTAAATATGAATTTTTGACATACTGCAATACACTGTAACACATGATATAAAAATTTAATTAATAAACCTACATTACAGTGAACATTTGCTAAATTTTAAAGTCTCATTTTAGACTAATCCAAATAGCAGTAGAAAATAATTTTTGTATTATCGTATTTCATGAGTTAAATAAAATGTTATATAAGCTTCTTTGTTTACATTTTTGAAAAATAACACTTATAAGGACCTGTACAGATTCTCTCTGTCATGGGTGTAAATCTGGTATGGTGATTTTAATTTTTTTTTGTAATTTTCTAGCAATGCAAATTTAACTGGCAGCCTTTAGAAGATTTTGATGAACCTTTAATGGGCCACAAAAAACATTCAATAGCAGGTTGTCTAGATAAATATCAAAGTGATTATCTTTTCAGCCATACAAAGAGAAATTAGCAATTCCAAATCTCAGATTTCTAAAATAATCCATCATTAAAACTCCCCATAAAAATCTGGATAAAACACAAATACACAATAGCATTAGATAATGCTGAGAAGGTCTATGGCCAATAAGTTCAATACTGCAGTTGGAGTGGCTCACCATGCAATGAACAGGGTAAAGAGTGTCTCGACTCTGCAGTCAAATCTGAAAATACTAGACTAAACTTTGCTGAGGAGCTTATGTTAAATAAAGTGTTACAAAGTTTACTTTAGTGATAAAAGAAAAATTCTTAGGTGTGAAAGAAATTATAGAAAATATTCTTGATGTTAATACACCTTTAATTGTTAATCTAACACCTTTAAATGTTAATCTCCTTTATTTTTTTTAAAATTTCATTTATATCCCAAGAAGATAAATTTTAAAAAGAATTTATGAATATATGTGTTCTGCAAGTGAAATGGCTTATTTCTTTAAACTGGAAAAGTATATGTGCACCAACAATAGGATGTTGGCTGAAAGAGATGGTAACAAACATGACAATGGAAAAAAAATTACTTGTATGATTAAAAAATAGATGCATCATTTTTGATGAAGTTTGGGAACCTTTTGTGTTGTTTTTAAAAGGTGGTGGATTTGAAAATGTTTTATTAGAAGATTAGTAACAGAGGTGATATTGTATTCTGATCTAAAATACTGAGAAGCCTTTTGTTTTGTTTTGTTTGTTCATTTGTTTGTTTGTTGGTTTGTGTTGGATCTGACACATTGAAATGTGTATGTACATGTTAAAATATAATAAAAAGGAATTAAGAAAAAAAAATCTTTTTTGGGTCAGATGTGAAAAACTGTGATCATTAATGTCAAACTGGAGAAAGACTGAACTGAAACTGTGCTAAAGTGAAAAGTTCTACAGCAGGAATAAAAAGCTAACTGTGAGGTTTTCTTTCAAATCCTCTGTCGTGTTTATGATTGTGCACAGAATTAAAGTTATCTAAAACTCACTTTCAGTTGATTAATGTATTCTTGTTTTTCGTCTTTAAAGGAGCGTTTCATGAACTCAGCGTTGGCCAGACTGCTAAACCTCTGGTGTTCAGAGGAGATTTCATCCACATTTACTGGAAATGTCTTCTTCACCTGCAAACAAAAGCATGCTTTGTCTCAATACCTGTGACCATTCGGACACTTAAAAAGACAGTTCACCCAAAACTGACAATTCTGTCATCATTTTCTCATATTTTACTTGTCACAAACTTTAATGAGTTTTTTTCTGTTGCACAAAAGATAAAAAAAAAGGAAACGTAAACAAATTCCAAAGTATTTGTTTTTCGTAAAATAGAAGTAAATGACTACAGGTTTGCAACATTTCTCACAATATCTTCTTTTTGTTCAACAGAATAAAAAACTCATTAATTTTAGTAACTACTTGAGGGTGAGTAAATCGTCATTTTTGGGTACATTTTTGGGTAACTATCCCCGCAAAACTTTTGGATTTAGAGCTTAAATATTGACTGATTTGTTTCATACGAAATAGATATGATAATGACAGATAATCCTCAATGTTATTGTTACTTTTGCAACACTAAAGGCATATAAAATCCCGTCGGTACATTACTATGAGTGGGATTTGTGATGTCTCACCTCTTCCATCCCTCTCTCATACACTTTGAAAGCTTCTTCAACAGCACACTTGTTCTCTAGATTTGCCAGAGCAACCACGGCGTTATCCAGACAGGGCACTTTACCACTGCTGATCGTGTCCACGTAAATCTTAGCCAGATGTCCAAGCACTGGAAATACACAAACACTTTTATTTACCAACTCCATATTTTGAGCTGTTTGATTACAAAGGCTGATCTGATATGGGTCTGATCAATGAACAGGGTTCACACTCTGAACCAAATGTCAAATTCCATGAGGTAAAGCTGTATAATGAAGAGAAAAGAGTTGATCAGTCCCTCTAAAATTTAGCAATTGGGTATATGCACAGCCAGCGTTTTCAGCCAACAATGAGCTCCAGGTGAAATGTTTATATGACTATTTTCAATTACATAGGATTCCTTTTACAGCATTGATGCTACAATGTAATTAAAATACAATCAGTTAAATAGACTTAAGCATTCGTTTAGTAGTTCAAACGTAAAACTAAATGAAAAGCTGTGTAAAGGCAAGCGCCGTCAGGATCAGCAGGCTAGCACAGAAACTCCATTAAAAATATTGGGGTAAAACAAATTTCCAAAAACATGGGTTACTGCAGTGCTTCTTGTCCAGTCTGAGACCAACTTTATATCATATATAAATCAGGCAGTGAAGCTCACTGATTTTTAAAGAAATCAGATTTTAAAAGTTGTGATTTTGTCTTGGCATTTGGGCTGGGAGACTGAAAATGTGAAGTCTGTGTATATACTGTATGGGTAAATATAAAGTAAAACCAAACTAATTAAGAAGAGCTTGCAGTTTTTGTATTTGCTACAGATTTTAGCCATCCAGTACTCAGTTCTCTTTTTTAAAATTAAGTAACACTATATTTGTAAACAGAAAGTGCTTATCTGGTGTTCTGAAACCTTGAGTTGTCATAGACATGACACAGCACTTCTGCTTAGGTACGTGACCCTCTTTATCATGTGATTTAACTGCAATTTAGCCACAGCAAAACAACTTAACAACTAAATGTCACAAATATTGCTGCACATTTTGAGAAAAAGCACTGCAAAAAATCAGTCATTTTAAAATTCCTGGAGGGACTGGTTGAGCATTGAGCAGATAAAAAGTAAATATTTTACCAGATACAGCCTGGTGACAGTATTTGATTGCCCATAGAAAAAAATGGCAGTGAAAAGAGCCAACAAATAAAATAACAATGGGCAACACTTTTGAAATAGCATGATAAAGAAAAAACATGGAGCAGAAAAAAAACATTTTGATAAATGGAAATTAAAATAAAAAGTCCCTGATATCCCCAACTCAAAATAAATATGTTAAATTTCCTGACTTTCAATGTTAGACCTAAATTACATGACATTGCATGACCCGTGTGAACCCTGAATAAAATTCTTCAGCAACTAAAATTGATAAAATACTTACATTTACCAGTGACTTTATGCCCCCCTTTCAGTGTTTTCACAACACTGTTGCGAAAGATGTGCTCACAGAAACGACCTGTGACCTCCAGAAAATCTGGTACAAGGTCTTTTTCTTGCAGACTTTCTAATTGCTTCATCTTCTCAGGTGAGGCTGGAGATGGGAACACAAAACACTTCCGGGATGGGAAGTAGTTTCGAATGCACTGACGGGGCAGATTGTATTCCAATGCCTTCTTATTATTACCTAAATTTAATGGGTTTTTTTGGGAGGGGAGAGAAAAAAACACTACCATCAGAAGATCATCAACTTTCACCATTTACGATCAATATCTATCTTAAATACCTTTCCTCAGCTGCAGGGCAAAATCTAGGTACTGGTCTTCATTAACATTCTTTCCATCAATCACCAAATCCAAAGTAAAATCTCTCACGACCCAGGTGAATGATGGGAAGAAAAGCACAAACTTTGAGTCCTCCTCATCCTCCTCGTCTGCTGCTTCTGCTGTTCTGATCTTGATCTGCTCTGTGAGCTCAGTGATGTAGCTGCAGCACATTAAGAAATAACAACTGCGTATAAAGTGTATAATGGTGTATGTCAGGGGTGTTCAAACTCGGTCCTGGAGAGTTTAGCTCCAACCCTAATCAAAAACACCTGAACCAGCTAATCAAGCTCTTACTAGATATACTAGAGCAGGGGTGTTCAAACTCGGTTCTGGAGGGCTGGTGTCCTGCAGATTTTAGCTCCAACTTGCTTCAACACACCTGCAAGGATGTTTCTAGAAAGCCTAGTCAGAGCTTGATTAGCTAGCCCAGGTGTGTCTGATTGGGGTTGGAACTAAACTTTGCAGGACACTGGCCCTCCAGGACCGAGTTTGCACATGCCTGTACTAGAGACTTCCGGGCAGGTGTGTTGAAGGCAGTTTGAAATAAACTCATCAGGACACCAGACCTCCGGGACTGAGTTTGGAGTATGTGGAGGAGAAATTGGCAGGCTAAAGGATACTGCAGTTTCTCCAGTGCGCTGTTGTCGATGGTGCCACGGCTGTTGTACACCAGAGTACTGCTGAGAAGAACAGCCAAACAGAAGATCCAGCCGTCGTTCTTAGAGTCTCCCTGAAACACACACACACACACACACACACACACACACACACACACACAGATCAGCTTCAACTTCAGCTCACAAAAAACTATCAAATCTGGCCTTGTCCTCACCTTGTCAACATCACCCAGTCCCTCTGTGTCCAGCAGAACCAAAGTGTGTCCTTGTTTTTTCGGGTGAGGGACACACCACATCCAGATACCTTTGGTCTTTGACTCAATAGTGTTGCCGAGAGCAAAGCCTGAGACAATTACATTTCTGTAATTAGCATGATGTACCTCAGGGGTGTCCAAACTCAGCCCTGGAAAGCCGGTGTCCTGCTGAGTTTAGCTCCAACTTGCTTCAACACACCTGCCAGGATGTTTCTAGTATATCTAGTAAGAGCTTGATTAGCTGGTTCAGGTGTGTTTGATTAAGGTTGGAGATGAAATTTGCAGGACACCGGCACTCGAGGACCTAGTTTGGACACCCCTGATGTAGCTAAAGCAGTGTGTCAAACTCAATTCCGGGAGGGCCACAGCTCTCCAGAGTTTAGTTTCAGCCCTGCTTCAACACATCTACCTGTAGGAATCAAACAAGCCTAAAGCACTCAATTAGTTTGATCAGGTGTGTGTAATTAGGGTTGGAACTAAACTGGGAGTTAAGTGAGCTAAGTGTTAGTTCACCCAGAAAATTCTAACGATGTTATTAATTTCTCATCCTTATGTTGTTCCAAAACCCCAAAACCCTGAGATCATCTTCGGAATACAAATTACAATATTTTGGATGAAATCTGAGAGCTCCCTCATCCTCCATAGACAGCAGGGTTCCTGAGTCATTCAAAGTCAAGAGAAATACCATCCTCAAAACAGACTATATGCCGTCAGTGGTCTAATCTGAACATTATTAAGCTACGAGAATACATTTGTGCGCACATAAAACAAAAAGAATGACTTTGTTCAACAGTTTCCTTTTCTCTGTGTCAGTATATTGAGCACATTTAAAAGCATTGTGCAGTGATGTTTATCCTGTTAATTGTCCGCACATAAATACCTCTGTTTGAAACACATGTTAATGTATGGTCTGTTTTAAAGATATTTTTGGTACCTTTCTGGAATTTAAACGAGTTGGGACAATTGCTGACTAGAGTGGATGAGAGAGCTTTCACCTAAAATTAGGGATGGCCTGATCAATTTTTTTTTTTTGCCTTCAAGTCTGAGTCATTTGATTTTGAGTATCTACCGATACCGAAACACGATCCAATATTTCATACATAAAAAAGAATAAAGAAGAGTGAAGAAACAGATCCAGGACGTTCCTTATTTTCTATTTATTTCACATTCAACAACTGTTTGTTGAGTTAAATGTAGCCTTTTTATTTCCACCTCTTGCAATCCCGTTTACATATCTCACAGTTAGCTTTGGCAAGGTTGTCACGAAGTGAGTAATTAATCATATATTTTACACTTTTGGGTAAACTAACGCTTTAAGTTTTGATGGTTCCCTTACCTGTCTGTTGTCCAGCTAGTCGGTTCATGAGGTAAGACTTCCCCGTACGGTAGAGTCCCACCACAGACACCACCACCACCGGCTCATTAATATTACTGAGAAAATCTATGGCATCTTTACAGATGCTGAGTGATCCGTTCACATTCTCCACCAAACAAATGGGCGAAGGCATCATTGTGGGTTTAGACATGTTGGTTCTTTCTAGCACTTCCTGTCTGTTTTCTAGCTCTTCCTTCCTGTCAAAAAAGTTCGTTTATTGTGAAAAAAAATGCAAACATTCCCACAATTAATGTTCCTTGTAATTTATTGTCTGAAAAATGTACAAACATAGATTACTGTAGGTACTACAGTATGGGCTAAAAAAATAACACACAACAGGATTAACAATTAAAAAAGCAACAAATTAGTGTTATCATATTTTACTTTGATTATACACAAATGCTACTGTATGATTACGGTGGTTTATTTATTCACATTGTTTTTAATTTTACTTATTTATTTTATTCTAATTTATTTAATTAATATAATTTTTTTCCACTCTTTCTGGATATTTATATTCAATTGTTTTGTTTATTAAATGTAAAAAGCTCAGTGAAACATATCTATGAAAAAGTTAAAAATGAATGCAATAAAAATACAAAAAATTGAGAAAGAAATCTGCAATTCTAAAGCCTGTCTGATTTATTAAATATGTTCCACAATAATGAAATTCTGAAATATTTATTATTTCCTTTTCATCCTTGTAAAGTGGCTTTGACCTAATCTACATTTTATAAAGCACTATAGAAATAACAGAGAGCAATGTATTCTTACTGACCATTCAAACTATTACAAAATAAAAGAAATCTGAAGCAGTCTAATTTGCTAATTACATTACGAAAATACAAATAGCAACACATCCCAGATTCTAAACCCCTTAACTGTTGCCCCCATTTTTTGAACAGACATGAAAATGACGTATTCAACTCAAATGATTGCCAATCTTCAACACTTTGGTGCACACATTAAAATATATAAATGAATAAAACTAAAGTTATGTGCCTTTATGTTTATGAAAATAATAAATCAATAAATTAATACTTTAATATATTACATATTTTACAAAACATGTTTTATCCTAAATTTGACAAAATCAGAGCTAAATATCTGAACAAATTACATTCCAAATTTGATGTGGATATCTCAAAAAATGAACTTTCAGTAAAATTATGTTTGGTTACCAGACATGGGGCTCTATTTTAACAATCTAGGCATAAAGTATAAAGCACATAGCGCAAAAGCATTAAGGTCGTGTCCGAATCACTTTTGCAATTTTTGGATCCTATTATGGATTTGCTATTTAAACAATGTGGTGCAAAACGTGAAAATTAGGGTTGGAAAACGGCAACAAATCGCGCCAAACGTCTTTTTAGCTGCATGGGTGTATGATAGATCCATGAGCACCATGACATAAAGGTTTCCACTTGTGACCCTACAAGAGCACTGGTGACCCCATGTTTGAAGAATATGAACCTTATTTTTTTTAATGCTTTTTACAGTATTCGTTAAGTGGACATACAATTCCAAAGTAGTATGTCAAGTTTGGTGGTATTTGATTTGAACGTAGCCTTTAAAAACATCTAAAGTATTTTACCAGTCAATTGCTGTAGCAATGTAATACTTTACGACTCTGACGAGTAGCCTTGTTATGCACAGGCTAATAAATAACGTTTGCTCAGTAATATCTATTAAATTACCAGATAAAAACTAGACATTTTAAGCTTTCAAATGATACATTAGTCATGATTAGACTACAATATGGTTTACAAAATGAAAATAAATGCTTCCAGAGGTTGTAAGGTTACTGTAATGGTGTTTATATCTTTTACTCTGTATTTATATATATATATATATATATATATATATATATATATATATATATAAACTGGCAAAACACAAGTAGTGCTCACTGTAGAGCCACTTGGGCAGAGCTGAGTTCCATCAAGGGGGAGCTTGAGCTCTAGCCCCTCCTTCCTTGCACTTCTTCTTTGAGTGATGTCACTGGGGGTTAGGGATGGGGTGGGTGTAGGCATCAAAACAGCTTATAGGACGAGGAGCTCAAGCTCAAGCTCCCTCTCACTGGAGCTCAAGTGGCTTTGCAGCGAGCAGTGTCTCGTAAAACATGTAATCTGTCCAATGGTATATAGTTTGTCTTGATTACATTATGATTTGATTGCAAAATTTTGATGTAAACTTAAGTGTCCTAGTGGTGGAATGGTGATAGTTAAGGGGTTTAATATGGTTTATGTCTTGTAGGCCATTAAAGCTTTTTTTTAAATCTATATATAATAGTGTGATTTAGTCCTTTGTAGACTTTGTTCTTCATCTTGCTTATTCTTAGATAAATTTGATTAGAAAGACAAAGGTTATAGACTTAGTGTAACTTATTAACTTTTATCTTATTTCTGATTTTTAACAGCAGCTAGATTAAAAAAGAAGAATAACAGAACCAGAGCCAGCCAGATCAATTTAAAGCATAAATAAGTAATTAATAAATAATAGATGGATAAATAAATAAATAAAGCAGCAATAATGTATTAAACAATCAAACAATTTTGTTAACGATTAAATAGACCTGTATAACTATCTTAATAGGTTCAAATAGCAGCACACAAAAATATGCACAAATAAATACTTATAAATTAACAAAAGCATTAGTTCAAACCTGCGGCAAAACTATAGTGAACTTCCTGAGCCCTTATGCGCCCCCTAGGAGGTGAAAAATAACTGTCTCGTATGAAATGTTATTCAGTTTTAGATTTTTTTGTTGTCTACATAAATTACATCAAGTTAGCCAGCAGTTATTATTAGCAGGCTCACTGCATTTGAACGATTGCCTCGAATGTAACTGACGTTTAGGTCAAACAAACGACAAAAATAAATCGAGCTTTAAACAAAGCTACATCAAGCTATGTTCAAAATGTGTCTAAATCTGATACAATAAAAGGGATTACCGAAGCTCTCCTACCCTCCACGGTCCTTCTTTCTCACTGCGGGATGAATGGAAATGCGGGTCCTATTTATGGAGGTCGATTGTTGCCAATATCTGCCCTAATAGCTTTAGCTTACTTTAAACAGTCGATTTCTGAGAAACCTCTTCTCAGTGAGGAACAGAGCCGGGGTGTAACACCGGCGATTCACTTTTGCTTTCACTTTCCGGTCAGCATCATTCGCCAATAAAGAACACGCCCTGTAGCCTATGTGCCTCCAACATTTATGCTGGAAGAACATTTGACAGGAGTTTCCAAGCCTTTCGCTCCTGTTGTTTAAAAGTTCATAACCTCTCAGCAGCCATGGCTCACTATACTATTAAGATAATAAATTGTTTGATTTGGCATTATTATTTATACGTGAACGCTTCTGAGTTTTATTGCATATTCATTTTGTTTAGGATCATTTTAAGCACGGTGATTCACAGAATGAAGTTTGGAAGTTGCCAATTCAGTAAATGCTATTTCTTATACGGGCCGATTCATTACAAAAAAAGTATTTTAGTGATCCCAACATAAAACGTTAAATATACTTATCATGCTTTTAAACCAGTTTTTAACCTGAAGGCTGCTGTCTAAATTAGGGGTGCGAAAATATGCACACGGACCTTTACTTTTCAGCCAGCCGGCACCTGGGCTTCCGGTGACTTTCTTTCTATTTAAAAAATCGTCAAAATTCAATTATCCTCACTGCCTGATAGATACACAAAGCACTGCATTAAATTCTACTAGCATTCCATTAGTATTCCAGTATTTTCAATGTAGTATCTGCTCTAGCCTGCTGGTACTGACGGCACTAGTGCTTAGTCTTTCATCTCGTTTTATGCTTGAACAACTAAGTTAATATTTAAGTCTATTTAACTGAATGCATTTTAATGACATAACAAAATCGAAGCTCTATAAGAAAACTTATGAAATCGAAAATAGCCATATTACAGTTTCACAGGAAGTTTATCATTGGCTAAAAAACACTAGCTGTGTATATACCCTGTTCCTTGAGGGCCACAGCTCTGCAGAGTTTAGTTCCAGCCCTGCTTCAACATGTAGGTAAACAAGCCTAAAGCACTCAGTTAGTTTAATCAGGTGAGTTTAATTAGGGTTGGTTCTAAACTATGCAGAGCTGCCCTGCAGAAACCGAGTTTAAATCTTGCGGCCTACTACTCACGTCTTTATCAATTTGTTTAATGACTAAACGTGACGTTTGACATTTATGAGGAAACTAAGTGTTTCCTAAAGAGGAAACTTTATGAGTCTGATGTTATATATTAGCTGTAAGATCAAGAATGGACTTTTTTACACTTGACACAGAGTTTTAGCTTCAAACTTTCGCAATAAATATGTCACAATGTTGTGCTTATGTCATAGGACAATAACAGCGTCTGGTCAAATGTCTGCTCAGGTGTGTCTCACTGAAAATGCCGAAAATGAGAAGCAGTGTGTGGGAGAAAAGAGGCCACAGAAATTCTGGACGAGCCGGTTTTATTCTGTATGTGATTTAAGCAGGTGGTGGTATCTCTATTGTATGGGTATATTCATTCCTTAAGCCTGGCAGGACAACAAGTCACTTAGTGATGTACAAACTGGTATAAATAAACTCAGTCCTCATTATGATATCTTAAATCACAAAAATGAGAACATGTAATGGAAAAATAAAATCATGTAGTAAAGCAATATACCAATAAAGTAATTAGAACAATATCATAAACGGGTGAATGATTGATCTTGTACAAGCCCCCCCCAAAAAATTGTAGTTTTATATTTGTATATCTTAAAGGTGCAGTAGATGTCTTCAGATTCAGAAACATTTTTTGTTGTGCTGGTTGAAAGTTTCTTCACATTCCAATAGTACTGATTAAAGTAAATGATTTAAATGTACAGTATTTATATGTATTTTTAAATTCTGGGTGAGGCATAACACTAAAAATGTTGATCCAATTAAATATTGTCAGCCGACATCTCCCATAATTCTGATAAGTAGCCTAAACTGTCTGTCACTAAATGTAAATTTGTACAACTGCGCACCTGTTCACGCAAATCCACTGATGCGCATTCACACAGGCCGGGGTCATGTGGACAGCGGTAAAAACAGATGCTGAATCAAAACTTTTTAAAATCCTGAATCAGTATTGGAGTTACTTTTGCACGCTGGAGGAAGGATGACACCATGGCTAAAGTATTTCTTTCAGACAGGTAATGTCATGTTATAAAAGTATTTCAGTCACGCAAATTTTATGTTGATTGTTATTTAAAAATGGGTTCTATGCACAGTAGTGTTGTTCAGCCACAGAAATCCTCCGGCGATAGATTGATATGACTATTTTCAGTTTCATAATAAGGGACCTTTCGCAGCATTGGTAATGATCTAGTTTAACAACAAAACATCAGCAAACGCAGCGTTATTCTGCCTAGCTTTACTGAGCTGAAGTTGGTTTTACATTCACATCGGTTCATTTCTGAACAATGACAACCTGTGTCGCGCTCCCGATATCGTTTACCATCCTACTCTGAATATTGGGTCTAAAATAGCTTGTAAGTATGGCTTAGTAATAAGTGTAATTCCTGCACCCGCTGTCAAGCACTCAGGACAAAGCATGTAAGAGAGAGACCAGCAATCCTTGCATGCATGAAATATTGCACATTATGACAGGTTTTGCTTGCTAACTTGCTGCTAGATATAACAGTATTTTGTTCACAAGTGTAGTATTATAAAGTACTACAAAGTTTTCTAACTGGCAAATGACATGATCTTGCTCTTGTGGGTCTCCGTCATCTTTAATGTGCACATTTGCGATTTCAGGTGGCGTGGCTTCGGACGGCAAGAGGGATTGTATATGAAAGATATTATGCTAACCGGTTAGCATTAGGAAGATTACCTACTGCACATTTATAAAGCAATAAAGTATCATTCCAGTGCCCTTTTTATGCACTTATAAGGCATAAAAAGCAATATAGGCCTATACTGGCAATTTCAGTTTACTCAATGTATAACATAAGTGACCTTTATATACAATAAAAAAAAACTTTAGGCAACTCACCTCAAGTTGTGCAGTATAAACCGCCCTAACACTGATTTTGTTTGTTTGTTTTCGCACCGACAAAGTGCTTTGTGTTTCCTTGTCTTGCTAGTACACAAAACACATGGCGAATGGAGGAATTGATTGAGGAAGAGCTGGATTAAGAGTTCCTTTAGAGATGCCATCTGTAATTTGACGATCTGTAATAAAATTTACCACAATGCATAGCTAAAAACTGGAACAGGTGTGTGCATTACATAAAGCTTTGTAGAGAACAAATTAATGAAAGTTGTGGATATTTTAAGAAAACCAATGATCAATAGATAAAGGGGCGAAAGTTGTGGAGTTGTGTTTACTTATAGCTCTGGAGATTCATCATCGTACTTAAAAAAACATCCTGTTAGTTTCAGAGCCAAAAACATCCTTGCTACTAAAATATCAGCTTTTATTGACACCAGGCCTAGTAAACACCAGATCCTGTAATGCACCTTTTCAGGAAAGATTTAGAGATGTAGGGGCAACACAGTGGCGCAGTAGGTAGTGCTGTCGCCTCACAGCAAGAAGGTCGCTGATTCAAACCTCGACTGGGTCAGTTGGCTTTTCTGTGTGGAGTTTGCATGTTCTCCCTGCGTTCGCGTGGGTTTCCTCCGGGTGCTCCGGTTTCCCTCACAGTCCAAAGACATGCAGTACAGGTGAATTGGGTAGGCTAAATTGTCCGTAGTGTATGAGTGTGTGTGGATGTTTCCCAAACATGGGTTGCAGCTGGAAGGGCATCCGCAGCATAAAAAAATGTGCTGGATAAGTTGGTGGTTCATTCCGCTGTGGCGACCCCGAATTAATAAAGAGACTAAGCCGAAAAGAAAATGAATGAATTTAGTGATGTAATCATGCAGTTGATCTCACAGAGATTCCGCCGATCAGTCTTTTATTTGTTCAAGAAATATAAAGAGGATGTACAAACGTGAGCACACACTCTAAGCATGTTTGAGGGGTTGTGTTGGTTATGGCCTGTCCATCATCCACCTCAGAGTTCAGATCCAGACATCAGCCTCCTGAGTGTGTCTGATGACTCTGCTCGAACCCAGCGCTCTGTAGTGGCTGTGTCGATGGAGCTGGGCCTGCCAGGAGACGGCAGAATAAAACGCCCACCGCGACCAACAACTTCAGCCTCGTCGTCTTCATCAGAGCAGCCTCCTGAACACAAACACACAAATGAGTTCTGCATCACCACAATCACTAAATACACAAAAGCAGACAAACACACACCTGCTGCAGTGTTGTGACGGCTGAAGTCCTGAAGTCTCTTCATCCTGAGAACGTTTGAGTCTCTGAGTTTGTTCATAGGCTGATGTTTCTCCACCGACTGCCTTTCTGCAGCCTAATTACAGACACATTTATTATTAAACATATCATGCTTTTTGACTATTCTCCACATTTTAGAGGTAAACGGTTCACCCTAAAATGACAAGTCTATCTCATGTTGTTCCAGTCCATCTTCAGAACAAAATTGAAGATATTTGTAGATGAAATCCGAGAGCTCTCTGACCCTCCAAATACAGCAAAGGTCATAATATGTTCTGAACCAAAACATTATAAAATATTCAATTTTGACCAACTGTTCAACTGTGATCATACAATGCGCAAAGAACACTTTTTGCACCAAACATATTTATAAGAATGACATTGTTTGCAAATTCTTTTGTTAGATCATGGTGTGCATTTCTTACAGGCTTCAGCGCTGTTGCTGAATATAGAGAATAAAATAGATGTAATAGAAATTAAATTTTTGGGTAAACTAACCCTTTAATATCCTCATGCCATGGCCACGGCCCTATAGACTTCCATTCATACGCACGCGAATGCATCAGACCAGAAACGCAAGCTTGTGCGACAAGTTTCACAGTTTGCTGTGTTGCAAAGTTCAAGCTTGGTGAACTCTGACCTGCGAAATCGTAGATCAAAACATGACCTCACTTTTTAAAATGTCTAATCATCTTGTTTAATCCCGTCCCTTTTTTTACAGCACAATCCAAAACAATTTCACATACTCAAACTCTAGTGTGAGACATAAATCATATGCAAAACCATCATTAGAAAATATGTTGTGAACAAATGTCGAAAGGAATAGCAACGCTTTTGCCCAGATTTTCTCATCTTATTATGGAAGCCCGTTCCCACCACTAAATAATAAAAAATGTAATAACGTAAAAAAAAAAAAATATATATATATATATATATATATATATTCATAACTTCATATTCATAATTCATAACTCGGAACTCTGACTTTATAACTCGGAATTCTAACTTTATATCTCATAATTCTGACTTCATAACTCGGAATTCTGAATTTAGAATTTTTTTAATTAAATTTATTTATTTATTTATTTTTATTATTCAGTGGCAGGAACAGGTTTCCATATCTTAGGGATGTTCTCATATACAGTAGGTCTTCATGAGGTGCATCCTGGGATTTTATCAGTACTAAACTGTAACAAACTCATGAGCTGACCACTTGTTGGCTACTTTTCATCAATTGTCTTCTTAAATTTAAAATCAATATCTACTATTAAAACTGCTTTTACACTTGTATTACTTTAATTATTTATTCTTTATATTTAATAATTTGAGGCATATTAATTGCTAGCCACAAAATGCTAAACACCACGATTTTTTCTATAGTTTGTTAAAATTATGTTCAGAACATCAGACCTATTTTTATTTCCACCAGGAAAGGTTTTGATTGTTAATGTGGTGGAAGTTATTCGGGAATTTCTTTTTTTTGGACTCACAGTTTCTATACTACTATAATTATAGATTCATATGTGTGCAGGCGAGTTGGGGTGCATCACAAAATGGCATACCCAACTACTAGCACTGTATCTATTAAATTTTTTTCATTTTTCCACAACCACGATATCTGTATTGTTTGATGTCATTGTTTTGAAGAAAATACCTTTCAGTACATTGTTGTTGTGTGTAACCTACAGGCCTGTGCACAATGGAATGATCTTCGTCATGCTTATCACTGACTCTTAATGCCTTGTGACTAAACAAAGGACAACAATGTGAGCATGCACACCAATAAGCAAACCGCCAGGGTTAAAAGCATTTTTTATTGTGTTTGCATCCTTTTGTTATGTTTGTTGCTGTTTTTGCCCCACTGACTTCCATTTATAATGACATTTTTTGACTGCAAAGTCATGACAGCATATAATCATGCATTCTTGATTTTTGGTGGTTTTCCCTGTTGGGGAGAGGTAAAATGATGATTGATCATGAGCTGGCACCATCAACCCTTTAGATAGGCCTGTGCAAATAAGACTTTTATATGGAGTATAACAGCGAATTAGGTCACACTTTATTTTGATGGTCCATTTGTTGAATTTAATTTATATTGCATCTACATGTCAACTAACTCTCATTAGATTATAAGTACATTGTTAGGTTGGGGTTAGAGTTGGGGTTTGGGTTAGTGTAAGTTGACATGTACTTGCAAAGTTTCTTATAGTCAGTTAAATGTCTGTTGAAGAGCAGTATCAACAGATATTAAACAGAAAGTCTACTAATATTTAAACGGACCATCAAAATAAAGTGCTACCGCAAATTATATTGTGTGTGCATAAAGAAACTTAGCATGTTTACTATGTTTTGAGAGCTAAGCAGCTTATTTGGGTTTTCTCAGACATCTCAGGGTAAGTGTGCAAAGGTCTCCCTCACACTCTCACTATATTCTTTATAACTCCATATAAAAGCCAGAAACTAAACTTTTTTTGCACTGCAACTGATGACCAACAGTAAAAATGACTCTTACCAACATGGAAAACCACTAACAACCATGAAAGCATAATTATATGCTGTTATGGCTTTGCGGTTCCATTTTAAAAGTCATTATAATGTAAGTCAATGGGGCAAAAACAGCCACTAACAAAACAAAAGTGTAGTAAATTTGCCCAGATTCAAGATTTTCAAAGCATTTTCCTAAAATATGTGTTAAAATAAGGATTGTCACCAAAACTTATTACATTTGCTGAAATACAGAGAAAGTTGTGACCAAATGTAAACTCCAAATCACCCCACAGTAAATGAAAACATCCCCAACAGGACACAAGGTTTCTTTTTAAATCTTTGTTTGATGCACCGCTGGCTTATCAATGATACCTGTGCATTGACACATGCATTGAGCTGCTAAATTTACAGTAAACACAACTTGGTGGCAGTCAAGCTCAAAATGCTCTCGCCGAGTACACTAGAATAAAAGATTAAACAGGAATACATGGCGAGTTTCACTTCACTAAATTTTCTTTTATAGCTTCTAACAATTTCCTGAAAATATTTGAGCAGGTGTTTGTTTTCTGTAGTAGAGGAGCTTAAACAGAAATGGTAAAGTGTACACTATAAATACACAAAGACATAGCTTGAGGATGACTAAGACATAGCTTGAGGATGACTTTTTTTCTTCCCTGCAGCAAGCAAAGTGTCAGAAGTGTAAAGTTGTGCAGCACCACCTTGTGTGTGTATTTCTGCTTTTCCATAAATGCCATCAAACTTCAGGAAGTGATTTTATACGTTCACTCAACTCAATATCAGTGAAAATCTCTCTTTGGTATGAGCGCCAAAAACATCTTAAAAATACTGACTATAAATGCAAGCGAAATACACCCCATTATGCAGGAGCCTTAATGGCGTAAAAAAGTAACTGTTGCAATGTGCAAGAATGTTTACCATTTTCATATGATGGTTTATGCCAAAGCAATTGTAATGCTAGTCTCTGAGATTAGCAAAAGAAAGCTTAACATCATGGTAAGCAGGGAAGAAGACCAAAGGGTATTTTGTCAATTAATGTCAATGAAGGAGCGGTTTCATTACGCTGAATTAACTGCACTTGTGGATAATGGATTATTATTAAATGAACTGATAACCTGTCATGATTTCCCACTCAACTTCTCGATTGATGAAGTGGAAAAGAAATCATAAAGACATTTTGTGTTATGAATCACCTGTAGTTGTGCTATTCTGCGTCTCTCGCGTGCAGACAGCTTTGCTGACTTTCTCTCTAAATCTGGAGGAACAGGGAAGGCAACTCCATTGTGATCTAATGATGAATAAAGAGACGGAAAGCAATCAGCCGTGTGCATTTATACAAAGAGCATATGCATGAGAAAAAGTTTAACTTAATCGTCTGTAAAATGCATTGGAAAAAATATCTAATATTTTAACTTGATTTGATATTTTGTTATTTAATTCTCTAAAGAATATTAAATGCAGCACAATGTTTACTTTATTCTTATTTAAAATAAATAACTTTTGTGAGAAAAAATGTTAAAATAAGAGTTAAAACCACATTTTTGTTTAAAAAATAAAAATTCTGTCATCTATACTGACTAACATATATAGAATAAGTAATCAAACTCACTTTAAATATTTTTTTATTCAATTTATTTTCAAAGATCCTGCTAAGAAAGCTAGAAATTTGAAGTAATCAGTAAAGTAAAAAGATTTAAGATGACTTGATGGCTATATGGTGACCCATAAATAAAGTCTTTTATTATAACATAAAATTACTTTTTTTTTACATGCCTGACAATATCTTTTCGGTAAATGTTGTTACGGTAAATGACATTTTAGGGGTCTTCATCTTTTTAATAATGGTAAAAAAACAGGACGCTACTGCAGTGTTTCCAAACCCTGTTCCTAAAGGCGCACTAATAGTACACATTTTTAACATCTTCCAGTTCAAACATAACTGAAACAAATCATCAGAACATTAGAAGAGACTTGAAAACCTGAAATGAATGGGTCAGATAAGAGAGACATCCAAAATATGTACTGTTGGCGTGCCTCCAGGAACAGGGTTGGGAAACACTGCTCTAATGTACGAAAATAATAAAACTTCATATTCAACTTATTTTTTAAATAATTGAAAACCTATTTTACACTTTGACTCTTATACATCTGGAAATATAGCTAAATTCTTGGGACCACACTGTATAATTGTTACTTAAACTCGGAAACTGTGTGTGTGTGATCCTACCAATGAATTCACTCTCTGACAGAAGCACAGATCCTCGTCCTCCTTCCACATCTCTGTTCCTCTGTGTGTTAGAAAAAAACAAAACCCTCATTCAGACTTGGCTCAGGAATTCACAGAACTGGAGGACACAATGACAGGAATAAACTGGAAATACCAAACACACTTTTAAATTGACAGTGGGGGAGAAAGACTTACAGACTGCTGAGTTCTTGAAAGAGGATTAAAGGAGTCTGAGAAATAAAAGGAAAAAAAGTACTGTCACACACAAACTCTCGTCAACAATTTGCTTGTATTTTTCAAAAATCATAAATTTCAGTTTTTACCTCTGTACATGATGTCATCAGTTTCCTTCGAGCTGATTGGCTCAATGCCACGGGAGGAGGGGCCTCGTACAGGCATCCGCAAACGAGCCATATCAAACACATCCTGTGATGCCCTGTGCCTAAACACACAGACACACACACACACACACACACACACACACACACACACACACACACACACACACACACACACACACACACACACACACACACAAACACAATGCTATATTGTGAAAACAGTCACACTTTTCTACATTATTGCTTGTATAAAATAAAAAAAAGTGGCCACACAGTGGCTCAGTGGTTAGCACTGTTGCCTCACAGTTCGATTCCCGGCTGGGTTAGTTGGCATTTCTGTGTGGAGTTTGCATGTTCTCCTCGTGTTCGTGTGGGTTTCCTCCGGGTGCTCCGGTTTCCCCCACAAGTACAAAGACATGCGGTATAGGTGATTGAATAAACTAAATTGGCCCTGGGGTATGTTTGTGAATAAGTGTGTATGGGTGTTTCCCCATACTGGGTTGCGGCTGGAAGGGCATCCACTGGAAACATATGCTGGAATAGTTGGCGGTTTATTTTGCTGTGGTGACCCCTGATAATTAAGGGAGTAAGCCGTAGGACAATGAATGAATGAAAGTGCATTTGGAACTTTTTAGAGGACATAAAGTATGTTATTAATGATTGTTGCACATTGACAAATTAGTTTTGCTGGATTATTATACACCTTGGACAAACTGTACTCCTGCAGCTATAATAATAATCAGCATCCAGGACCAGAACTATGGTGGAAAGAAATTTTTTAGATTGAAGTGTAAAGATTTAAGGTAAGGTAGTTCATCTGAAAATAAGTATTTACACATCACTCACTCTCCCTCATCAACCCCATAAACTTCTGAGTGGCTTTTCCTATTGAACACCAAAGAAGATATTTTAGAGAATGGCGGTAGCCATTCACATCAAATAGTAGGATAAAATACTATGAGATCCTGCAAAAGTTTATTTTTCAAAATGTCTTTATTTGTGTTCAACAGAAACCTCACCAATATCTCTTCCGCAATCACCTGAACCCTTGAGGACAAAACCAGAATCTCCTCTTCTCTTCCCCGCACAGCACCACACGTCAACCTCAAAACATGCAATTCTGAGTGTGCCTCACACAGGTGAGTGGACTTGAAAAACCACCTGTAGAAAACACACTCTTTCATCTCCCTGTCTTTTTTAATGATATTTCCACCAGTTTTGCACATTTGCACCAGACACTTTCTTACGATTACTCAACATCTCAAAAAACATAAACAAAAAACAACTGCATTTATGAAGTGAGCTGCACACAGGTGAGTGGGCTTTTCAAACCACATGTAGAAACACTCCTCCTTCTAACTCTAGCTCTTAATTCTCTGAGCACAAACGGTTCTTTGGTATAATTAGCACTTGTGTGTATTGCCTCTTCCTGTTGAATCTCTGAATGCCTCCTGAATTATAAGTCACTTTGGACAAGAGCCTCTGGTAAACGACCTGTCTGGTAAAAGGCCTGTGAAATTATATTCATATGCCAATATATATCACAGAAAAACTAAATATGGCAATGTCAGTTTTTCCCAATATGGTGCAGCAATATTCCAGACAGACAATTAGTTTGAAAGACAAGACAAAAATTTGAGCATGTCACACTTGTCTCTCATCAGCAATTGCTTCAGCACTCTTGTTTCACTTATACCACCATGATATTAATAAGTGTTTTCAATACTTTAGCTCATCCATGAATTGTCAATCTCTGATTCCACATTCAGTCACAGCATCATCAAACTACGCCTCGGTATGTTGTGAACAGGCGGCCTCTAGTGGCAAAAAAGAGCCATTAAACTGCACCTGTCGGTGAACGGTGAAGAAAGATTCTCCCACTCCGTTTGTAAGAGCTGCTCCTCCAGACGCCGCTGTTCACTGCGCAGACGCCTTCGTAACACACACAGCTCATTCACAACCTCACTTCTGTCCTCTGTAGAGAACACAAACATGCGATTAACAAGCTGGAAGATTCATAACCAACAAAAATAAACACGTATGAGTGTTTACTCTCTGTTCTCTGCTGGCGTCTGTGTTCTGGAGATGAAGGAGGTCGGAATGAAGAGAAACCCTGAAGAATATACAAAAATACGTGAACATGAAGTGTTTGTTTTTGTTGTAAATTTAGTGTAAATGTTACATTAAGCGTTTGGTACCGTATGATTGTGCTGTTTATTCTGTAATGTAGGAATTGGAGGAGATGGTGCACGCTGAACCTAAATATACACAGAAAAGGGAGTTACTGACAAAAGTATTCTATTATATAGTTGAAGTCAGAATTATTAGCCCCCCTGTATATTTTTCCCGATTTCTGTTTAACACAAAGCAGATTCATTCAACACATTTCTAAACATAATAGTTTTAATAACTCATTTTATCTTTGCCAAGATCACTACAAAATTTTGCACTAGATATTTTTCAAGATAATAGTATTCAGCTTACAGTGAAATTTAAAGGCTTAACTAGATTAATTAGTCAAGTTAGGGTAACTAGGCAAGTCTTTGTATAACAGTGGTTAGTTCTGTAGACTATCAAAAAATATAGCTTAAGGGGCTAATAATATTGACCTTAAAATATTTTTTTTTAATTCAAAGTTTTTTTGTTTTTGTTTTCCTTGATATACAGAGCACAAAAAAAAACACCTTTTCCAGAACACCAGATCTAAGAACAATGTATAATTAAATGTCTTTGAATAAAATTTGACTCATACAAGGCTAAACACTAACAAGTTTTTTGAATGGCCCAGATCAAAAATATTAGTTTTTGCCCTATCAAAAATGCATTATAATTTAATGCATTTAATATTACAATAATAGTTTACATTTAATGTTACAATAATAGTTTACATTTAATAATACAATAATATTTTAATGATAACCAATTTCATATTTAAGACATTTCTTAGCAAAATATTTTAAATATTGTGTCACAACAAGCAAGCTCTAGTTGTAAACATGCACTGTTTTTTCAACATAAACTTTCTTCAAATAATAAAAAAAAATATATATATTTTTTAAAAACTATAATAAACTAAATGTATGCACAACAGTCTGTCCAGGTCAGTGTCCTCAGCAGTAAATACATGGGGAACCTTTAAACAAATATTACAACAAGGAAAATAATTAAACCATTATGGCAAATAGAGTTTAAAAAATATTTTTTAAATAAAAAGTTAAAAAGTTTTATTTAGATGAATTGTTGGTGATTGTATGGGTGTTGGCCAGATTGGGTAGCTATAGATAAAAAAGGAAAAGACCTACAAAACAATATTTCAGTAAACTTAAGACTTTTTTTAAAGCCTAAAATTCAGTTTTTGAGATTTAAGACATTTTAAGACCCTGCAGATACCCTGTGGTATGCCTTATTTTCTCCAACTTAAGATGAGACATCACTTCTCTTATCCAGCGATTATGTGTTGATGGAATAGGGTCTTTCCATTTAAACAATATCAGTCTTCAAGAAGAGAAACCAAGGCTAACATGTTAATTAGTCTTATGTTAAGAGGACAGTTCTCAGGGCTCACCCCGAACAATGCAAGAAATGGTGATGACTCTACTACCACCCCAAATGCCTCAGAAAAGGTCTCAAACATACTAATTCAGTACATGTAAAGCTTTGGACATGTCCAGAACATGTGCAACAGAGTAGCAGAACCCAGCCTACACCGATCGCATATGAGATCTATGTCAGCATTGGTGACCTTAAAATAGTTTGAAAAAATTAAAAACTGCTTTTATTCTAGCAGAAATATAATAAATAAGACTTTCTCCAGAGGAAAAAATATTATAGGAAAACCTGAGAAAAATTCCTTATTCTGTTAAACATCATTTGGGAAATATTTGAAAAAGAAAATGAGGTTAATAACTTTGACTGCAACTGTATTTATTTATATCTTATCTCTATGGACCCTTTTCACAAGCCCGTTGTGACACATTTAAAGGTCATCAGAATCTTAAATCATTTGAAAGTTTTTAATATATATATATATATTTTTAAATGTATGAACATTTATATGTATTTATGTATATATTATATCATCTTTGCTTCAAATTGTGAAGTGAATTACCACTTGTACGAGGGGTTTCTAATGCGGCGTCTATGGAACAGGACAGCAAATTTGACGTTATTCTCTCCTCTGGCTGCCGTCATCAGTCTCACAATATTTTTTTTCCTTTTTCTGAAAGTCTTTTTAACATCATCGTAGAGTTTTTCTTTTATTATTTGAGCAAATAAGATTGTAAAAAAATAGTTTGTTGTATTCTCTCATTCACTGCACTTTCACTGCACACAAGTTTTCCCAACTATGACGACTTCTGCTACTGAGAAACCCAGAAGTGTGAAATGAATCTATTCGAAAACTAATTTTGTGAGAGAAGTAAATACCTGCTGTTGCCTGATTTGTCTCTCTTCCTCTTCCTGTTTTCGGAGAGCTGCTCTTTCTTTCTGTTCTTCCTCTTTTTTCTTTTTCTCTGCCTCTCTCCGTCTCTCCTCCGCCAGGCGAGCAAGCTCTTCATTTTTCAGTTTTTGCTGCACAAAATATCATACTTTTTTTCTTGAAATCAGCAGTGCTGGTCACCCAAACAATTTGAGATCATTAGAAGTAACAACATAATATAATAAACTTTATATAATAATAATAATAATAATATTCAACGTAAATAATGATTCCTCAATTGAATTAAGTGATTATTTAATAACTGCATTCGGGCTACAGTACATGCACTGATATTAAAACTGCAACCATATTAACAAATTCTAGGATTGTCTAAATTAAATTTAAACACTAAATTAAGATTTAAGTACCTTAAAAAAAAAAAAAACACATTACCAGTGTGCATCTTGAGACTGTAAGTTTGTTCAATTCATGTTAGTTCATCCACAAAAATGATGGAAAAAGGATGATGTTAAATCTTTTATTATCAAAGACTTTTCATCCAAAAATTAAAATTTACTCACTGTCTACTCATTCTAGACAGTAGTTTACAAGTTTCTTTTTTCTACTGAATACAAAATAAGGTAGTTAGAAACCTGTAACCATTGACTTCCAAAGTATAAAAACAAACACTATAGAAGTCAATGGTTTTAGTTTTTAATAGTGCATCTCTAAACTGCAGGAGTGCGTCTGTGTGTCTGACCTCCATTTCTCTGCGTTTCCTGCTCTCCTGCTCCTCTTCATACTCTCTCCTGATTTTCTCTCTCTGTTCAGCCAGTCTTCTGTCCTCTCTCTCCTCCTCTGCTCTCATCCGCTCTCTCTCCTCCGCCTGCTTCCTCTGCTTCTCTTCCATCTGTTCAAACACACACACATAAAGCAAGATTAAGTAACAGTGAGATAAAAATTCAAAGCCAAATGTAAGCAAGCTGAAAAAAAAAAAATCGCTGCAAAAATTCAAGAGTTCAGTATCTAATGAAATAATACTAAATAAACAATTTAAGATTTAATAACTATTTAAGACTTTTTTCATGATTTTCAAGAAGTGTTTTATGTTCACCAAAACTGCATTTCTTTAAAAACAACTTCAATAACTGTTCTTTTTTTAGGGGTTTTTCACCTTTAATTGGGATGGGACAGTGGAGGTTACATGCAGGAAATTATTGGGAGCAGAGAGAGGGAAAGGTTAGAGAGGGGGGTTAGAGAGCCGTTCCCGCTAGCCACTTTGGGTAGTTGACACAAATTTTATATTGTAGTTAATCGAGAAGCAGCACAACTAACAAAATAATTGTTTGCACGAGCAAAAGAAAGCAGGTGAATACAGAATAAAAGGATGATCACGTGGACGGTCGACGCAGGCTTGCTTCACTCACTGACAAGGGCTTTAATATCAAGCACACAGCTTACGTGATGATGCATGTGAGTGCTTATAAATCTTGCATGCTCCCGTTTCCTAGCGTGAAGCAACATTGCCTGCAAATGCAACTTGTGCAACCAGTTCTCTTTAAACAGACTGGACAAAAAGTGATGCTCGTGCACTCACAGTCCTGCTGCTTTCAAGAGCTCAAGATTTGGTGTAAGCAGCAGCTCTTGCCGCTTTCGCTTTAACCATTCTTTGAACAGTTTATTAATGGGTCTAAAGTTAACTGTGTGCATGCGATAATCCTTTCATTACTGCACATGATATGTTCTTACCTGCTTTCTTTTGCTTACAGTTTTTTTTTTATTTATGGTTTAATTATAATCATTTAATAGGTGGCTTCTAGATGTATTATTTATTTATTTCATGAAAGATACTACTGCGCTCAAACATTTGAACAGTAGTGCATGTGTGTACCTGCTGTCTCAGGCAAGCTTTATATTGGTCTTGCTCCAGTACTTGCTGAGGTGAGATCATCTGATTGAACACGTTTCCTCTTGCAAACTGTGGCGTGTGCGTCTCAATCATACCTTCAATAGATACACATTAAACTGAGCTTAAAACAAGATTCATTCATAAAACATCATAATTTGTATAAAACTAGAATCTTACTTGGCCTTTCTGGTCTTTGTACTGTGGCTGCTGCATTTAAAAGGTGCATCTGCTTCAAGTCAGCTTTAAATACACACACACAAAGATTATTTGTGAATTATTCATTCATTCATTTTCTTTTCGGCTTAGTACCTTTATTAATCCGGGGTCGCCACAGCGGAATGAACTGCCATTGCTGAATATCTTTTATGATATTTTATGATATAGATACAATATACATGTTAAATACTGACTGCCTTTCTGTACACCAAACAACACTTTAATACCCCTTCTCAATTGTGAGCATAACTGACGAACCGATCATTCAAAAATAATTACTTGCAGTGGTTTTTGGGTTGCCAGGTATGCATATCAATGTCCATTAAGAAATGATTAGGTTTTTATTAGGTATTCGCAAAAACAAGATACAGTCAGCGGCACTTTATAAATGTAACCCAAAACAAAACCCACAGCTTCATATTTTTTCCCCTTTTAAAATGTGTGGGAAAACTGTGCCCCTAACCGAATAAACAAACCCATGTATTGAGACTTACAAACAGGTAAACAAAACAACAAAAAATTGTTACATTTTGATAGTAATTTGTGCGTTTTCATACTATGTTTTGGTAAGACTTCTCACAATACATCCCATAATGATCATGTGTTTGTCAGTAGGTGGAGAAAATATGGACTTTTATGGCTGTTAAAATAAAGTCGACTGAATGACTAATGACTAGAGCCAGACAGAATCTGCAGACATTTTTTGCTATTTCTATGCAGAATTTTGTACAAAAAAAATCTGTGGATTAATGCGGAATGATTTTGGAAGTATCAGAACAAAAAACTTCTAACAATTAGATCCACTTATTTAGTAAACAAAGCAAGTCTCTCATGTAATATATCCACTAAAATACAGAAAATATTATTTTAAAAACTGTACTGCACCGATATGGATTTTTTGGCCGATATCGATAGCCAATAACCGATATATTTGCCAATAAATATAAATATTTCAGAATGTTATATTTTAATATAGTTTGTATAGTTTAAAAACTTCATAAAAGTTTGAACTAATCTTAAAATAGCCAACTCAAAGCAAAAGAGCAATAATTTCAAAATTGCAAGGTGATTATATAGACCTATATTCACAAATCAGCATGCCAAAAATAAATTATTTCCTTTTATTCGTATAGCAAATTAACATGCAACATGACTGTTGCATAAAATAAAAATAGGTTAAATAACAAAATGGTATTTAATTAACAAACAAGTTAAATTATTAAATTTTAAGTAAAATTAAAATGAAACTAAGAACTGAAACCAGTAATGTACAGGTATGTACAAATATGTAATGTCTGAAAAAGTGTTTTAAGAGGTGTTTTGACAGCTCAGAGCCATATAGATAGTATGTTTTACTTTAGAAAATGTGGCATAAATTCGTCCCAATTTGGGTTTTTAGATTTTTTAAACACATGTACAGTAAGTGCTGCTTGTCAATCAGATTATGCTTCTGTGTTCATTCTTGTTGTCAATAAACAATGTGAGGAAAGCTCCATTATAGTGCACAGGGCAAGTCTGAACAAGTTTGACCCACGCATGCACAAGACAGGCAGTTCTATCCAATAACCTATCGGCTTAAAGATATCGGCTTAAATTTGATATCAGACCGATAACGATGACATTAAAAATAGCATTGATCTGCCGATAACCATATGGCCGCCGATATATCATGCATCCCTACTGTATTATAAATAAATCAAATAAACATTTTCATATATTGGTCAACAATATTACTGAAATTAATTTAAAAAGTGAATAAATATAAATGTACACACATTTACACAAGTGATAAATAGACTCAATTATGGGCTAAAAATCTGCAGAAACCTGTGGATTTCTATGTGGGCCTACTAATGACAGCTAACATAACAAATGTGTTTTTGTGGTCAAAAGTGGACAAGCTCAAAACATTTTAGACCTCATTTACATCCTTATTGATCTCCCGAATGATCAAAATACATGTTAATAGCAAGTGTCAAGGTCAAGCTAAATGTGTCCTACCGATCAGATTTCCAGTGCTGTCTCTGATTGGTGCACCAGCTCCTCCTCTTCCCCAGGGTTCATATGCTCTCATATCGGCTTCGAGTTCCACCTCCAGTCTTCGCTTCTCCTCTCTATCCGCCCTCCTCTGTGCGGCCCGCTCTTCTATCTGCTCACAGGACATACACAATGAATAAACTGGAAGGCAAGCAAAAAGTTAGACTAAACAGATTAATACAAAACGAGGACACACACCTGCTTTCTGAGCTCCTCTTTATAGCCGAGTCGGCTTTTCTGCTCATGATGTGCAGGAAACGCTGGATGACCTGAACCCACACCTTCATTCTCACCTAGAAACCTCCTGAAACACCAACATGCATTGCTGAATCACATCTTTTCGGGTGTTACTGCACTGTGCCTAAAACAGTTTGTCTGATTATCCGGTCATTCAAAAGCTTATTTTGCTCTCTGGTCCAGTAATGCAACGATTATAGATTCTAGTTGTATGATTATAGTCTGAGGAATAATCACGGTTTCACAGTTATCACGATTATTATGGATTCATTAATTTCAAAACACTACTAGTTTAGAAAAATCACATGAAAACGCCTTGTATTTTAAAGTGTGATTTATTGCTGCTCAATGACCAATTTAAGCCTGGTTTATACTTCTGCGTCAAGTGATCGGGGTGACCCACGAGCCTTGCACGTTGCCGTGCATTTATACATCTGCGCGCTGTTTGTGTTGCACTGCAGTATACCTCCGAAACGCAAGATGGCAGTAGGGGTTAATGTTTCTCTGTGTCGAGCTTCTTCACTGGTGTTTTGTTTTTTCTGAACGCTTCCTTAATGTACAAGTGGCTCAATCTCGCTCATTTTGAGGGGGTAACTGGTGGACGTGCAACAACTTTAATACTGAGGTAAACACAATACAGCAGTCTCCATCCGGAGCTCCTTCACGAGACTCCACACTTGTAAACACTCACTGCATCGGGCTCGCGCAGCTCTCACACTTTCGCCCACACTTGTCAGCGCTACCAAGCCGACCAATCACAGAGCTTGCGTTACGCGCATGTGTTACATTTTTTGAGAGGTGTGCGTCAACGTCGCTGAAGGCTACAATGAGGGGCTATGAGTCCACGCATAGGCTGCGCCGTAGCATACACGTGCGCTTGATGCAGAAGTATAAATCAGCCTTAATACAGAACAAAATAATAATAAAAACAAACAATAGTCCATTTCTCTTTGGACGTAAAATAAGTGAAAAAAGGTTTTTGGCATTTAAACATAAGTAATAATTTTACACTGAAAAATAAATAACAGAACAATGAATAAATAAATCATAAAAATAAATTTAATCAATTAAGTCGTGGTGAGCTTTGGGGGTTCTTTCAACTAGGTGCGTCTGGAAAGCTTGCACAAGCTCCTCCATTGGAAATAACGAACTTGCATGCAAAAAAGACGCAATATGTGAACGGCTCTTAGTTAAAAGCCTAATCGAAAGTTAATGTAATGTGCATGGGTATTCGCCTCGGTGTGCAAGCTTGGAACTTTAAACTAGGGCACAGTGGGCATAACTTTAAGTTGCAGCAGTTTTTTTTCCCTTGCAGAAATGCGCTGTTGAGAAGCCATTACGATTAATTAACCATCACGAATTAAATCGCAGTTAATAGTGAAATCGGTTAATCGTTGCATGCCTACTCTGGTCAGATGAACAAATCTGTTAAACACAAATATGTATTACCACAAACAAAAATTTAACTCCAAATGCTAGAAATATTTATAAATATAATGATATATTTGCATTTTGCATCCACACTGATCAACAATAACATTTTTGTTGATGCTTTTCATTATGTTCACCTTCTTGTAACCAGCAGATGTCCTCAGTGTGCTTTTAGTGCAGTGGTTCTTAGCTGGTTTGGCCATGGGACCCACATTTTTACATTTTTCATCAAGCTGCGACCCAAATTTTTTAGGAACTATAATATAATTTTAGGAAGTATTATTTATTTGTATTTATTTTTTAATATACACAAGTAGTGACAGATAAATCATAAGAAAATCACCAAGACTTACAAATAAACCATACTTTATTGCTGTCATTTAACAAAATGTATCAAATTATAGAAATATTACAAAGTAAAAATGTCAAATACTGTAAACAGTGGTTAGGGTTAGGAAAAGTTAAGTTACCATTAACTAAACTGAACTGTTAATAAAACATTAACACCGATCCTGCTGAACAGAACAAACCAGCAAATTAAAGTAAAATGATTAAAATAATTATAACTATTTTATAATAATCACCAGTTATTTGCTCTTCTGCTATTGTGTGGGCTTTCTTTTCTTTCTTTTCTCATGGTGAGAACAGTCAGATGCGCAGAGTGCCTGTACTTGTTTTGAACATGAAGATGTTAGGCACTTTTGTGATGCCCTCAGCTATTGGAGTCGTCTTTGAAAATAGTCCACAGGTTTGTCCTTGCAACTGGGATGTTTGATTTCTAAACGTAGTTTCAATTTAGAAGGTTTCATGCTCTCTTGTGAGAGCACCTCATTACATATGACACACTGAGGTTTTAAGAGTTTTTTTTGTCGTCAATATATGTAAATCCATACTTTACATATTCAGAATTGTACTTGTGCTTCGACATATTTGTTACTATAATTAAATCAAATTTCACATGTCAAACTGTATGGTTGTCACGCGCGCATTTAAAAATAAAAGTCTTATATATGCAAAATAAATTAAAAATTAAACTTTAAAATTTTGTTGTTTTTTTGACCAAACACTCCGCGACCCACTGAAAATGTTACCGCGACCCGAACCACCAGTTGAGAAACACTGTTTGAGTCTACCTAACCAGTGAATCCAGCTCTTGAAATATTTTTTTTATATTCTCTAAATGTGCTAATCTAATCAAACAATTTCAGCAAGTGCAATCATAATACTGTAAGTGGAATTAAAAACAACACAAACTATTTTCGGTAGGCAACACAAAGATACTAAAACTAGCACTGGATACCTGAGGTTGGCCATTTATATTTCAATGGATTCTTATTGGCTGTCAGTGTTTCATTGTTTATTAGCTGAGAGTAAAAATCGTTCTGATAGTAATCCCAATGAAATAGTTTCTCCATATGTTATAGTTGTGTTTTGAACTTTGCTGTTGTTTTATATTCTGAATGATTTTTAGAACATTATTTTTATTGTCATTATTATAGTTGTGCTTGGTGGGATCTGGCATTTAGTTTTCCCATTTTAATTTGTGATTGGAATTTTGATCTTTTTGAAGTACATGCAAAGTGTATTCACTGTGGAGACCCCTGATTAAAAAAGGGACTAAGCCAAAAAAGAAAATTAATAATTTTTAATACATGCAACTGTTGATATGGAGAAACTGGATTTTTTAGATTTGTGAGATAAAAACTCCCATTTTACAACTTTTTACAACTACAATTCAATTAGAAACAGTTACAAATTGCAATCATAAATGTATCTGAAATATAACATTTACATTTATAGTAAAATAGTATTCATCTGTGTCAGCTGCTCTCTTACTGTCTGTTAGTGCTTCTGTTGTGCTCGTTGTGAGGACTGAGTAGGTGTGACTCTCCTGCTGATGCTGGAAAAGAAACTCCTGCTATTGGACCATCTGTGAAACACACACACACACACACATTTGATGTAAAAACAGTGGGGAACTTGTGCTGTACAGATATTCATGCAGGTTACAGAATACTTTTTTCAGTTTACATAATACTGTGCCAAAATTATTTACACATTAAAAGTAGACAAAAACCTCCTTAAAGTCACCATTACATCAAAATTGACAATTCGTTTATATATATATATATATATATATATATATATATATATATATATATATATTGTAGCGAGCAATTATATGCCACGTCGCCCTGGTCGCTAATTTCACCCAGCTGGACCTTCATCAAGCCAGGATCGCACACAGCTGGAGGACATCAAGCGGAGAGACATATAAGCCCAACCTACGCCAGGAGAAGATGAGCTTCATTCATTCTATGACTCCCTGTGCTAATGCTTGTCTCTCTGTCTCTCCTTAGCGGACTCCAGCTCGTGACGATCCTTCACCCGACTACTCACTGTCCTTCACCTACTTCCCGGAGCACCAGAGCACCTCACCCTAAAGAAGAGCACCTTTTACATCACATTCACTTTGTAAATAAAGCACCCTCCGGGGACTTGTCTGTAAACTCATCCTGTTGTGCCGCTGTTTTCCCTCTGCCTCGCTACAACTGGTGGAGAATGCGTGCTTTTTCAGAGGGAAAAAAATTCAGCACTTACCAGTAAGAAGGAGTAACCACTGAATTTTCTCTGTTTTTTCTTCTGTTTACAGACAGGCATCCGCTCTCTCTCTCACTCACGCTCTCTTACTCGGCTGTCATCCCCTCCTGAGTCATGTCGATCGAAGAGGTAGTACGCCATCTAGCGGAAATCTCAAGAAGACAACAAGTGATAACTGAACAACTCACCGCCAGACAAGACCGTATGGAACAACAGCTCCGCCAAGCGGCCGGTTCCAGCCAGTTCTCTGAGGTGAGCGCCCATAGATTTATCACAAAACTCAGCGACCTGGACGATATTGATGCTTACCTACACACCTTTGAGGTAATTGCGGAAAGAGAGAGATGGCCGAAGGAAAGTTGGGCGAGGATGTTAGCGCCATTCCTGACTGGAGAAGCTCAAAGAGCTTATTTCGCATTAGAGACACCGAAAAATGACGACTATAAAGCATTGAAAAAGGAGATACTCGCCAGAATGGGACTCTCCAATATAAGCGCAGCACAACAATTTTCTCAGTGGTCATATGATGACAAACAGCCGGTTCGGACCCAAGCAGCCAACTTATCAAGATTGGGAAGATTATGGTTGTTAGGAGGAGATCCAACCGCAGTCCAGGTCGCTGAGAAGGTGGTCATTGAAAAGATGATGAGGGCGCTACCCAGACGGCTCCGCACACTTACCAGCATGAGGAACCCCGACTCGCTGGCCGCTTTGGTGGAGGCGGTGGAGCTGGCAGAAGCTCACGTGGCCCGGGAGACTGGGGAGAGAGCGGCTCTGCCACCCCGGAGGGTAAATGCGCCATGGCGACCGGTGGAGGGCACAGCACGACCAGGCAGCAGACCGGCGGTCCCCAGCCCAGTCGACGAGCCGATGCCCACTGAACCAACATCACACTCGACCCCGGCCTGGACGGCAGGGTGCGTGGTACATCGCAACGTCCCTCCCAAAGCTCCCACCCGAAAAGTATGCTTAGACGGGAAAACGCAGACGGCCACACTGGATACAGGAAGTGCAATAACACTGGTCCACCCAAACACGTTAAAATACCATCAAGAAGGGAAAGGTCGAATCCCGATTACATGCATACACGGTGATACCCGCCACGTACCCGCCCAAAGAGTCACTATAGCGACTAAGTCGGGAAGCTGGCGCATCGAAGTAGGAGTGGTTCCAGATCTTCCTGTACCCCTTCTTCTGGGCAGAGACTGGCCGGGGTTCGATAATCTCCTCACCCACCATCAGGCTCGATCGGCTCGGGCAAAGAAGAACAGCAAGGGACGGGCTCAACGGGACCGCCAACCAGCGCTGATGGCCACCGAGAGCGACAGAGGGGGTGAGTCATCATCGGCTAACCTATACTATGATCTTTTCCAACAGATTACCGCAGGTGGCGATTTCGGGAGAGCACAGCGTGAAGATGAAACGTTGAAGCACTGCTGGCCACAAGTCCGGATCATAGACGGTAACGAACGGTTTCCCAGCCCTCACCCCCTCCCACATTTTATTGTGCAAAATGGTCTGCTGTACTGTGTCGCAGAGAGGCGGGGGGAAACGAAGACGCTATTGGTCGTCCCGAGGACCAAAAGGGAGACTGTTCTGGAACTGGCACATACCCACCCGATGGCAGGACATCTAGGAGCAGCCAACACGATCAAAAGGATCAGAGATCGTTTCCACTGGCCCGGGTTGGATGGAGAAGTAAAGAGGTATTGTCAGGCATGCGACATCTGCCAAAGAACGTCTCCCCAACGACCACCCCCCAGCCCTCTGATACCATTACCCATCATTGAGGTGCCCTTCAACCGCATTGGCATGGACTTGATAGGGCCTTTGCCGAAGTCGGCCCGGGGACATGAACACATCCTTGTCATCCTCGACTACGCCACCAGATATCCAGAAGCGATCCCTCTGAGAAAAGCCACGTCATCGGCAATCGCTAAGGAGCTGTTTTTATTATGCAGCCGAGTAGGAATACCAGCAGAGATACTGACCGACCAGGGCACCCCATTCATGTCCCGGTTGATGGCAGACCTCTGCCGCCTCCTAAAGGTAAAGCAAATAAAAACCTCTGTTTATCATCCGCAGACTGATGGCTTGGTGGAGCGCTTTAACAAGACGCTGAAGCAGATGCTCCGCAGGGTGGTGGCAGAGGATGGGCGCGACTGGGACCTCATGATCCCGTACGTGCTTTTCGGAATCAGAGAAGTTCCTCAAGGATCTACAGGTTTCACACCATTTGAATTGCTGTTCGGCCGCCAACCACGAGGGCTATTGGATGTGGCTCGTCAAGCGTGGGAACAAGAGCCAGCCCCACAACGGTCAGTAATTGAGCACGTGCGGGACATGAGAGGACGAATAGAGAAAGTCATGCCCATCGTCAAGCAACATCTGACCGAAGCCCAGCGCGCCCAACAGCGATTATATAACCGGCCCGCCCAACCCAGAGAGTTCCACCCAGGAGACAAGGTAATGATCCTGATACCTACCACCACCTCGAAGTTTTTGGCATCCTAGAAGGGGCCATATACAGTGGTAGAAAGGGTAGGGCCGGTAAACTATCGAGTCCGTCAGCCGGGACGAAGAAGAGAAGAACAACTTTACCACATCAACTTGATGAAGAAATGGGTTGCAGCTCCAGGTCATCTAGTTGCCTTCTCAGAAGAAACTTCTCCCGTTGTCCATATAGGTGAGCAACTCTCACCGAACCAGAAGGCGGAGCTGCAAGCCTTGGTCGGTCAGTTCAGGGATGTGTTCTCAGAGAAACCGGGCCGAACCACCATCATCCAGCACGACATCATCACCCCACCTGGCACCATCGTCCGGCAGAGGCCTTATCGAGTACCAGAAGCTCGCCGGCTGGCTATCAACGAGGAGATCCAAAAGATGAGGAAATTGGGAATCATCGAACCATCTCGTAGCCCGTGGTCCAGCCCCATAGTGATGGTCCCCAAACCCGACGGCACCCTCCGCTTCTGCAATGACATCAGGAAGCTGAACGAAATTTCCAAATTCGACGGGTACCCCATGCCTCGGGTGGACGAGCTGCTGGATCGGCTGGGTGGAGCCCGATTCATATCCACGATCGACCTCACCAAAGGCTACTGGCAACTACCACTAAGTGAAAGCGCCAAGGAGAAACCCGCCTTCTCCACTCCCGGTGGGCACTGGCAATACCGGGTTCTTCCCTTCGGGCTCCACGGGGCTCCAGCAACATTCCAGCGTATGATGGACATCCTGCTGAGACCCCACCAGCCGTATGCAGCAGCATACCTCGACGACCTAATCGTCCACTCCGAGTCATGGGAAGAACATCTATCCCGGTTGCGGAGGGTGCTCCTTGATCTTCGTAGGGCTGGGCTCACAGCTAATCCCAAGAAATGCTACCTGGGTCTAGCAGAAGCAAAATACCTCGGTTTCCACATCGGTAGAGGTCTCATACAGCCACAACAGAACAAGGTCAGAGCACTACAAGAAACTCCACAACCCACCACAAAGACCCAGGTACGTGCATTTCTGGGGTTAGCGGGCTACTATAGATGTTTCATTCCCAATTTCTCATCCATAGCCAGCCCGTTGACAGACCTGACCAGAAAGGGGCAGCCAGAGAAGATACAGTGGAACAGGGAAGCAGATGGCGCGTTCCAAGCCCTGAAGACGGCACTAACATCCTCTCCGGTACTGCACGCACCTGACTTCGGCTGCCCCTTCATCCTACAGACAGACGCTTCCGACTCGGGCCTGGGCGCGGTCCTATCCCAGGTCCACGGCGATGAAGAACACCCAATCATGTACGTGAGTCGGAAGCTTACCCCTGCAGAGACCCGGTACGCCACGGTAGAGATAGAGGCCCTGGCGATCAAGTGGGCAATCCTGGAGCTCAGGTATTATCTCCTTGGCAGAAGATTCACCCTGGTGACCGACCACGCTCCACTTCAATGGATGTCAACAGCGAAAAATAACAACGCTCGAGTTACCAGATGGTTCCTGTCGCTCCAGGATTATAACTTCACAGTGCAACATCGAGCCGGGGCCTCCCACGGAAACGCCGACGGGCTCTCAAGGCTATGGTCAGGATGGGCAGGTCTGTCAAATCATTCTACCCCCCCTCTCAATACTCTACCTTTTCTCCGCAGGACACCCAGGACCAGGACGACGCTAAGGGGGGGGGGATGTAGCGAGCAATTATATGCCACGTCGCCCTGGTCGCTAATTTCACCCAGCTGGACCTTCATCAAGCCAGGATCGCACACAGCTGGAGGACATCAAGCGGAGAGACATATAAGCCCAACCTACGCCAGGAGAAGATGAGCTTCATTCATTCTATGACTCCCTGTGCTAATGCTTGTCTCTCTGTCTCTCCTTAGCGGACTCCAGCTCGTGACGATCCTTCACCCGACTACTCACTGTCCTTCACCTACTTCCCGGAGCACCAGAGCACCTCACCCTAAAGAAGAGCACCTTTTACATCACATTCACTTTGTAAATAAAGCACCCTCCGGGGACTTGTCTGTAAACTCATCCTGTTGTGCCGCTGTTTTCCCTCTGCCTCGCTACAATATATATATATATATATATATATATATATATATATATATATATATATATATATTTATTCCGTTCATTCCGCTGTGGCGACCCCGGATCAATAAAGGGACTAAGCCGACAAGAAAATGAATTAAAAAATAAATAAATAAATATATATATATATATAAAATTTTTTTTTTTTTTTTTTCATTTTCTTGTCGGCTTAGTCCCTTTATTAATCCGGGGTCGCCACAGCGGAATGAACCGCCAACTTATCCAGCAAGTTTTTACGCAGTGGATGCCCTTTCAGCCGCAACCCATCTCTGGGAAACATCCACACACATTCACACACACACTCATAGACTAGGGACAATTTAGCCAACCCAATTCACCTGTAACGCATGTCTTTGGACTGTGGGGGAAACCGGAGCACCTGGTGGAAACCCACGCAAAGCCAGGGAGAACATGCAAACTCCACACAGAAATGCCAACTGAGCCGAGGTTCGAACCAGCGACCTTCTTGCTGTGAGGCGACAGCACTACCTACTGCGCCACTGCCTCGCCCTATATATATATATGAAGATTTCAGATGCAAAGAGAAAAATTTTCTCCTAAAATGAGCATTCTTGCGATGAGATTTTTGCATCTGAACTCTTATAAATATATATATATATATATATATATATATATATATATATATAAACAAATTGTCAATTTTGAGGTCATGGTGACTTTAAGAAGGTTTTTGTAATATATATAATTATTCAGTGCTTATTATTAAAAGTTTATTTGTCCACATCATATTTTATATTTAAAACCTTCACTAACATGAGTTGGGAGCCTTTGTTAATAATAATGATTCAACTCAGTCCTACATTTTCTTTCTCATTTCAGAAACCAATTTACTCAGATATACATCACAATATGGAAAAAAGAAGATAATCACAATTTCTGTTTTATGAAGATTTTAAAAAATCCACACCAATGCATTATTTGGTTCATAAATGTTGATGATTTAATGCTCTTAGCAGCCAAAAATGGCCATATTCATTCTTATTGAAAGTAATTTAATGTTTGATGTATGTCTTACAGACTCTGCTGGCGCTCAGAAAATTCTCAGCATCATTATTTGTAGTCTTATCTGCAAGGAATGGGAGGTGAGAAGAGACAAAAGGCATCCTGAAAAAAACAAACATATTTGTGAGTTAAATGAACGCATGTGCGATTATGTGTGATTATGTATGTTCACTCCTGTGTACATCCATGTACTGTATACCTGCTTGGAGAAAGAGAATCTGCCCTGTATTGCAGAAGACCCTCAGCAGGCTCAGCAGTGTCCAGGCGATGGATGATGTCATCCCTTGTTTGCTTTCTGTATGCAGACTCATCCCTCACAAACAGCTGCTTCATAGAAAATGATCAGAAAGTCAAAACAAGGACATGAAGTGCACACACACATACACACAAAAACATTCGCTTACCTTTTTCGCAGCCTCCGTAACTGTCTGAACTCTGTGATCCAGCTCTTTCTCCCTAAAAAAAAAACAGATTAAAGGTCATTACAGCGACATGAACATTCTGTCCAACATCTCTAGAACAGATTTGATATTTTTGGATGGATTATAAATTATACGAAATTCTTTTTTATGAGGTAACAAGTCAAGTCAAGATGAGCTTTATTGTAATTTCACTACATGTGTAAATATGTGTCACAGAGCCACAATGCTACATAAATAAACAAAGTTATAAATACGAACATAACACTGAATGTAAGAGCTTTTTTAAACAGAAATAACTAACATACCAGAGCGGTAATCTAATGATCCTAACTACTAAATCGTCATATACTATAAATAATTAACTATACATATAACATAAGACAGATTATAAAAGGTCATCAACCAAATCCAGCAGTCAGACACACACACCTTCTCCTGCGACTCTGTCTCTCTGCGATTTGTTCCTGTAATTCATGTCTATAACGCTCCTTTCTCATCTGCAGTGTGGCCTCCAGATCTGCTGCACCTGTCAATCAAAGTCAGTGATGTAGAGAGCCGTTTTCTGCCCAATTATAGAGACTGTTTCCTCAAAAATCCAAATAATGTTATGGTTTATTCACCATTATTATTGCTACAACAAGGAAACAAAGGACTGAGGAGTTGTTTTTTAAAATAGCTTATTTTATGTTCCACAGAAGACAGAATGTCATTCAGTTTTAAAAATAACTTAGACAAAGCTGGAGGAATATTGAGTCAAAACTCTCTAAAAAAACAAGTCAGTCAGAATCAGGTTACTTGAATATATAGTACACACTAAAATGAAAATATTCTCACATTTTATTCACCATCAAGTAGTTCTAAACATTTACAAGTTTCTTTCTTGTGTTGAACACAAATATTTTGAAGAAAGCTGAAAAGCTGTAACCATTGACTTTCATTTAGGAAAAACGGATACTGTGGAAGTCAATGATTACAGGTATTCAGCTTTTTCAAAATATCGTCTTGTTCAAAACTCAAACAGGTTTGATATAAGTGAAGGAATAGTAAACAATCACATAATTAAAACTTTTGCGTGAACTATCCCTTTAAATGTCTCGTGAAGTGCTTTGAAATGTGCAATTTGATTCGATGTGACAATCTAACTGAAACATGCCGAGAGGGTGGGACAGAGTGAGGCTCCTCCCTTTTTAAAAATCAGCCTATAGCGTTTTGTTTTATCACCACTCTGCCAGTGAGAGTGGTTGAGCTCAAGTGCATCAAATGAAATGCAAATGAGAAGCGTCTTGAAGGGAAGGGGGCGGGGCATGTCAGATACTAGAGAGGATTTGATTGGTTATGATTTGATGAGAAACTGAAGTCTGAGGTGACGTGAATAAAACCATTGATCCATTTAGGCGGATGTGACAAACTACAAGCTTCACATGATTATATCAGCTTTATATCTTCTAAACGCAAATTTTGTCACAGTTTTGGAGCACACTAGCTTATAGATATCTTAAAAACTATTAATACTGATATTTACGTCTAAAAAACTTTATTTTAATTTCATGGGACCTTTAACACTTACCTATAAGAAGTCCTGTGGTGCAAACAGTGTCCTGTGTGGCCACAGATACAGATCTTTCATTGGCTTGAGCCGTAACAGATGCTGATGTTCTGCAACAATGAGGAAGAGTGAGCCAAGACATTCTACCATTCAGAAGTAATTAATTAAAGCTGCCATTAAAGTTTGCTAATGCTTTAAAAATAGAAATCTAAACAGTGTATATAGGTCTTTCACCTGTTTCTTTGCTGTAGTTTGTTCGTGAGGTGTCCCATTTCTGTGTACAATTCCCCTCTTCTAACAAAAAAGGAGGGGAGAATGGCATAGTGTTAAAATACATATTTATTTATTAAAGGCGCAGTAGGTGATCTTCCACTATGCTAACAGCTTAGCATAAATCTCTGAATCTTAGTCCCTTCCCTGCCGTCTAGAGCCACACCTCCATAACACAAGCACAGCAAAAGAACCCTCTGTGTTAAAAGTGACTAGTGCTTGTCCGTTAAACATGGTAAACATGGCTTGTCCGAGTTGTATGGTAAACATTATAGGGAGAGACTAGGCGGAATAGCTCTATGTACTTGTGTTTTGTTGTTAAACTAATTAAAATCTACATTATCGATACTGTGAAAGGTCCTTTATAAAAATTGAAAATAGTCTTATCAATCTTTCACCGAAAGATTTTAGTGGCTGAACAACACTTCTGTGAAGATATAACCCATTTGTAACAACAACATCTAACGTTACATCAGCTTTGCGTAAAGCTAAAACAGTTTTAAAACAGAACATTACCCGTCTAAGAGAAATCCTTCAGACATTGTGTCATCCTTTCTCCAGCGTGCAAATGTAACTCAAATATTGATTTAGGTTTTTAAAAAGTTTTGATTCAGCAGGTTTTTACCGATCGCGTACGCGTGCTCTCTCTCTCTCTCTCTCTCTCTCTCTCTCTCTCTCTCTCTCTCTCTCTCTCTCGTGAACGCACAGCACAAACGGTGGTTGGCGGAGCTGCGTACAAAAAGCTGCGCAGTTGTTCAAATCTGCATTTGCTGACAGACAGTTTGGCCTAGTTATCGAAATTATGAGAGATGTCAGCCTGACTCTATTTAATTGGATGAACATTTTTTAGTTTTATGCCTTAACCAAAATATAAAAATACATAAAAATACATTTAGATCATTTACTTTAATCATTACTATTGCAATGTGAAGAGACTTTCAAACAGCACTCCAAAAAAAAATTCTGAAGACAATCACCTACTGCACCTTTAACTAAATAAAATGCAAACACAAATACACTCACTGGCCAGCCACATGTTAAGTACATATGTTCACTGTTGGCTAGTTAATGCAAATATCTAATCAATCACATTGCAGCAGAGATTACGATAGATATTACGATAGATTTTACAATAGGTATTACGATAGATATTACGATAGATATCACAATAGATATTACGATAAATATCAGGATAGGTATTACAATAGATACTACGATTGATATCACGATAGGTATTACGATAGAGATTACGATAGAGATTACGATAGATATCACGATAGAGATTACGATAGAGATTACGATAGATATCACGATAGGTCTTACAATAGATATTATGACTGACCGACTGACAGCAGACAAACCAACATGAAGGAGTAAAGACAGACAGACCTCTTTCTCTCTGTCCTCACCTGTTCCTTGCCCTGGTGTCTCTCTCTCTCTGATGCCGCCTCCCTTGTAAAAGCATGAGTTCTTCATCACTGACATCTTCCTCAGAGCTACACACACCCCACCCCAGTCCACACACCTCTGTAAGAGTGGCCACATCTCTCACACGGACCGTCTGAAATATAAGCAAGAGAGAGTTTTAACACTGAGCCATGAACGAAAAGCATTGTACTTTTGAGCAGGTGGGACAAACATAGCAGTAAATAAAATTAAATTACATTACATTTAACCTTACAGTGTATTGAAATATTCAGCCGTCTTTGATTTGAGAGACGTGAAATTTAAATCTCACAGAGAACTAAAAACTGAAGAAAACCAAAAATAGTCAGGTTTTTGATGCTGTACTGTACCCTGGGGGTTCTTCTTCTCTCTGGAACTGTGTGAGAGTCACCAACATCCCAATGGTCTTTCTGAAAGACACAAAAATATGGTGAGAAATTAAGTTTCCATCTCATTTAAAATACATCCACACAAATTTTGTATGATTTTCTGTGCTACGCTTTCAATTTTGTGTCCAAATTAACTTTAAAAAACATGATTTTTTTATACACAGAAAAAAATGCCTGCTTTAATGGTTTAAATGAAAATAAATCTATATGTTATTTGAGCAATTCCAAAGTCCATTAAAGTTAAATGATTAATATGGATGTGACATTTGCAGTAAAAACTCAAAACATTAAAAATCACTAAGAAAGTATTTGTTAACATTATATTAAAACATCTGTTAATATTTTCTAGAACAACTAACCACAGAGTTATGAGATCAGAAAAATATAAATCGGTAAACATATTTCATATTTAGAATTAGGAAAATAAGCATAGGTTATGGATGTGACAAAATAAGTCATGTGTATACAACGTATACAACCTACTTTGTGGAACTTCTGTGAATTAAACTGCACAACTTAAAAGAAATAATGCTAATCAAAAGGAGAAGAGCTGAAGAGCTCAAATATAATGGTTTAAAAACACTGACAGAGACATTTTTGAGTACTTTTAAAGTACTGTAAAAAATATTTCCAATGTTATTCAACATAACAGATATATATTTCGCAAAAATTATAACAAATCATTTATAACATTTTGTCGACCTGCAGTGCTTATTAAAAAGGTTGAATACATACATATTGTGTTAAAGTTAAATGATTAATGTTAATTGATAAAAAATAGTAAACAAAAAGATTTTTGAAGGATAAGGCAAAGTATAAAAACTTCAAGTGATAAATGATTATTATATAAAGTCTGCACTCTTAAACTGAGTTTTTTTATTATCCCTTTAATATTTTTTTATAATTACTTAATATGCCTGACAATATTGTATGGTGTATATATATATATATATATACTACTGTTACACTGAATGACATTTTTTGGGTGTCTTTTCTAAATGTACAAAACAATTCAGCCATATTATTTCTAACATTTTAATGCTTGAAACCCCCTTTTTCTTTGTTGATCCATTTATGAGTGTCTCCCACTCACCTCTGTCATGTATTTCCTGTAATCATTCCTGAGCTCTTCTTGGAGTTTGTGTTTCTTTCTCTCATATTCCTCTCCTAATGGCAGACTTAGTCCTTCTGCACACAAAAAATGACATGTACAGAAATTGTTATTATATGCATATAACAGAAATTAGTTTACAATAGTATTAAATTGCAAACAGAACTCTACCTTGCTGACTTGTACGTGGAGGGATGTTCTCTTTCTGCAGAACATGGCCTGTCCGCCTCTAATATATTAAAGAATAAAAAGAAAATTAGGCTTTTACGAAGTGTGCTTTACACAGGTGAGTGGGCTTGACAAACCACCTGCAGAAACACTGTTCTCTCTCTCTAAAACACCCCTCCCCCTCCTTCCTCTAGCACTTAATTATCTGAGCACAAACAGTTTCTTTGTATAATAAGCACTTTGTGTGTATTGCCTCTTCTTGCTGAATTACTGAATGCCTCCTCAATTGAACGTTGCTTTGGACAAAAGCGTCTTCTAAATGACTTAACATAAATGTGAAATATTAAGTCAGAATCAATATAACAATAAAGACTAGTACACATTCTCTTTTATCCCTTAAACTCTCACCCTCATCTCCATGTAAGGAGGTTCCTGCTCCAGACAGGCCTTTTCTTCTGCTATCTTTGTCTTCTGCTCTTCCAGAAACTTCTCCAGCACTTCATCCATCTGGAAAAAAATACACATATATACCTGGAAATACATAGAACTAAATTTTTTTTATTTTAACAATTTAGTTGTATTTAAGTAATATTTTACAGTAACATAACATCAACAAACAAGAAGCAATTTTTTATAAATGTTATGAACCTCTGGAAACATTATTTAACTAAAATACATTAATAGGATACATACAAAAATACAACATGCTAGAAATGTATTAGCAATTTTCTAACTAAGGCATGCAGGAAAAATGCTTGCAACGTGAACTTTCATGTTAGCACCATGCAATAAATCATGTTAACAACATGTTAAATGTGCTAGAAATGTCCTTGCAACATTTTCTTTCAAGCTAGATTTGTAATAACCGTGTTATTAATGTGTTAAAATGCTAACAATGAAATAACCTTGCTCCAAACATGCAACCAAAGCCAATTTATGATAGCAACATGTTAAACACACTTAAAACCTGTCAGAAATAGGTTAACCATGTTTAAAACATTAAAATATTTGACACTGTAATTCATGCTTTTGTGACCATTCGGTTAGATTACTGTAATGCACTGTATGTGGGGAGTAGCAGGTCAGCTGTTGCCCATTTGCAAATGGTGCAAAATGCTGCAGCATGCCTGTTAACTGGCACTCGTAAGTATGACCATATTTCCCCCATGTTAGCTTGGTTGCAGTTTAAGATTTAAGAGTTAAAATTTTATTTGTTTTTAAATCTCGAAAAAACTTTTTTCGTTGGCCTTAGACACCTGATTTTACTAGATGGTTATTTTAATTTCTGTGCCTTTTTAGGTAGTTTAGCTAAATTTGGCCATATAAACATTTTGTTGTATATTTCTGAACAGTACTTTGGCTCACTTCTGTGTTTTTTTAAAGTGCTCTTTAAATAAAGGTTGACTTGAATTAAAATATTAATGCTGAATTCAAATCATTATTACCACTATTCAGTAGTAATGTTCCTCAAATATTACATTAACAGATAAAACATTTGATTTTAATGATAAACTAGTAAATATACAAATAAACATTAGAAATAATTAACAACTAACACATTTTTTCATTGTTAGTTTATGCTATCTACTGATAAACTAAAGTTAACAAATAGAACCGAATCACAGTGTTACCTCAATATATTTATAAACAACCCAGCTATAGCTTATTAAACTACTTAATTTTAAGGCAGTTTTTTAATTTACTTAAATATTCACTTAAATGCTTATGATCGATCATTAATTATAAAACAATACAAAAAAATTAATAAAACATACAAAATGTGTATATAAAATTACACAGAGCACATACATGCAACATTATGAATGGATTTTGACATGTCAGACTAAAAAAAATCACCTTTATAAATAATATACATCAGAGATGCCCAAACTAGGGCCCGTATCCTTGTATTCTTTGATCTTTTCTGTTCATTCGTTTAAGGACAACTTGTTACATGTTTCTTATACTGTTTACTATGGTACTTTGAATATTCAGACTGAAATCACATGCATGTATAACAATAACTATTCATTTAGCACTATATATTTGACTTGAACAATGTCGCACTTTGATAGTTATTGGCTGCTGCTAATATGATTTCACTATCTAATATTTGAAAGAATAATTTTCTGAAATAAAGTCTGAATGTGAGAATATAAAACCAACTTTACCTCATTTGAGTTGGCCCACCAGAGGCAAACGGATTGGGGAATGCATGCCTTTAACAGAGATTCTCATTTCTGTTTAATGTAACCTTTAGTTCTTTATTTGTTTTATGGTTAAGCTACAGAAAAGCTAACTAAAAATAAATGTTTTGATTAAATGAATCAGATTTTCTTTTAATGCACCTACTGTCACTTAACGGATAGGAGACAAAGCAGAAGACATCAGCGTGCAAATCAAGACAAAGGCAGGTTCAGCAAGACTGGTGTGTTCGGCATTGAACTCCATTGATTTTACTAATGGTTTTAATGTAATAGGTTTGTTTAAATAACATACATTTTAACATTCATATTCATTAGTAAATACGGTTGAAGTATTTTTTTCTATTTGTTTTTAAATATTATGTAATAGATTAGGAAGTTATCTATGTCACTTTAATGTAATACAGTTTGCTACATTTACTTTCGGCTTACAGCTCTCAGTCAAGCTTGGATTTTGGCCCTTCATAGAAAAAGTTTGGGCACTTCCGATTATCATTACCTAGTAACATTTAAGGCTTGGTTTGTTAGAAACATTTTTAGAAACAAACATCACAAAAAACAATGAGATGTTTAGTTACACACCTCTTTGATTTCCGCCAAGAGCTGAAACTCAGTTCAATCCTCTGTTTACAGGACTCTGAATGCATCTGTTCCTCCACTCCACAAAACAGCCATTTGATCAGATCACGCCGACATCAGACACCATAATAAAGTTAGTGAAATGTGATATTGCGTTTATTCACTAAAACATAGGTGTTACCTGATGAAAACTAATAATGCCAGCAGAAAATCTGCTGTCCTGATTTCATTAGATAAAATGAATGAACGTGTCATCTGATGTTTGGATTTGTTCATGCGATTGAAGTAACGTTAATCGGGTTTTTCTTAAATAAACTGTGTATTTATAATAAGTGCTAATCGCCTCATGATCTGATTTAACTGATCCATGGTTCGGTGTCACTCTGGAAAAACATAAGCAGCGCCGTTATTCCTCGCTTGCTATTTTCCTGTGTTTCACTTCCTCTCTTCCGGTTTCCGCTTTTCCGGCTGCCGATATATATAACGCTCGGGTAGGCAGAAGCTGGATGAATTGTTCCACTGTGACTTTTTGTAGATCAACTCAAAGGTTTGTTTGTTTTTTTGTTGTTTGCTTAAAATAAATTTCTCTAGTCATCTAGCTCTATATTTAAAGCACTTATGCCTATCAATGTTCAACAATTTCTCCACACAGAAAATATTGTATCATATAATTTTTATGACACATTTGTGATTAAATAATACATTTAATTGAACTGTTTATTTGTTTGTTTGTTTGTTTGTTGGTTTGGTTGTTTGTTTATAAATAAACGGATGTGCCCCGAACATTCTCTGCATGCAAAATTATGTTTCATGGTTAAAACATTTTGTGATGGAAATGACAATTTTAAATGACCACTTTCTTATAATTACAGTAAAAAACGCAACAAGAAAGAATTTAATTTAAAAATATTAGATTACGTTATAAAAGTCTAGATTATTTTCTATAGCCTATTCATTTTTTAGGTCTTCTTCACCCCCTGAACCTACTTTGTCTGTTACAAATAAAGAGAACACACCATTGTAATATCAATCTAGTTTATTGCATTGATCTAATATTATTCCGTTGATATCTTAAAAATGTCTGCATTTTATTCTCACGCCCATATGAAGTCTGTTAAACTCCATAAACACAACACAACACAACCTTTGGCCTTCTTTGTATTGTGGATATTGTAGTTTTATTAAAGCCACTTTTTCAAAAGAGCCCTCGTTGTATAATCGTCCAAGTGGAGAAACTCAATTTCGTAACTGCACAATAGGGCAGTTAATTTGAATAATATCAAAATACATTTTAATCAGTGGCTTTTTAAAATAATGCCGTTAGAAGGCAGATGACCTGAGACGATTTAGAACTTCAATTCCCAACATGCATTGCGCGACCCATAGGGTCACGCTGTTACAGAACCGCTTCCGTGTTGTGTTTGTTACTGGAAAACAGAAACTGCGTGAGGTGACATAATTTTCTATCGTCCGTCGCCGATTAAACAGCGATGCTTTTGTAAACCGCGGCGTCATAAGAAATCTCAGATTGGACTATGTCGTTGATTCCGGGCTCAAAACAGAAGGATAGGCGCATTTTATGCGGGATGTGCCCGGACCCGCAGTGCCAGGCGAAGCTCATCTTCCCCGCACACACCTCCATGAGCATCGAGTGCACCGAGTGCGGACAGAGACACGAGCAGAAGAATCTCGCCAATGTGGAGGAAGTGACTAACCCTGATGTAGTGCTTCATAATTTGCTGAGAAATGCTTTGCTGGGTGTGCCAGGCCCTCCCAAGAAGGGCTCAGAGCTGGTGAAAGTGATGGGACTGTCCAACTACCACTGCAAGCTGCTGTCACCCATCCTCACCCGCTATGGCATGGACAAACAGACAGGCACTGCCAAACTCTTGAAGGAAATGAATCAGGGAGACATCTTTGACTGCTCGCTGCTTGGGGACCGTGCATTTCTCATCGAGCAAGAGCATGTGTCCACTGTTGGGTATGGACGGGACCGGTCAGGGAGCTTGATCTACTTGCATGACACTTTGGAGGAGATCAAGAAAGCGAACGGTAATAGAGAGTGTCTTATTCCTGTGCATGTGGACGGAGATGGACACTGCCTGGTCCACGCCGTGTCCAGGGCGTTAGTTGGGCGCGAGCTTTTCTGGCACGCTCTTCGGGAAAACCTTAAACTCCATTTCAAGCAGAACCTCGACCGCTACAAAGCTCTTTTCCAGGACTTCATAGATGCTGCAGAATGGGAAGACATCATCAATGAGTGTGACCCGTTGTTTGTCCCTCCAGAAGGCGTTCCACTGGGCCTGCGTAACATTCACATATTTGGCCTGGCCAATGTACTTCACAGACCTGTAATCCTTTTGGACTCGCTGAGCGGTATGCGAAGCTCCGGTGATTACTCCGCCACTTTCCTACCAGGCCTTATTCCAGAGGAGCAATGCCGAGGGAAAGACGGCACTCTGAACAAGCCCATCTGCATCGCCTGGAGCAGCTCTGGCAGAAATCACTATCTGCCTCTTGTGGGCATCAAGGGCTTGGCTTTGCCCCGTTTGCCTGCTGCACTGCTTCCCAAAGCGTGGGGTGTTCCTCAGGAGCTCATCCGCAAGTATGTGAGTTTGGATCCCAGCGGGAGCTGTGTGATTGGGGGCGACCGGAGCCTCCAGGATAAGTACCTCCTGCGCCTCGTAAGCGCCATGGAGGATGTCTTTATGGACAAGCACAGCATCCATCCCGCTCTAGTAGCCGACGTCCATCAGTACATATACCGACGCACTGGAGTGATCGGCGTACAGCCGGAGGAGGTGACGGAAGCGGCCAAGAAATCCATCCAGGAAGGCCGCCTCCACCGCTGCCTGGTCTGCAACGCTCTTTCAGAGCTCCACGTACCAGCCGAATGGCTCATACCTGGAGGGAAACTCTACAACTTGGCCAAATCAACTCACGGGACGCTCCGAGCAGACAAGAACTACAGTTTCCCATTAAATAGTTTAGTTTGTTCCTACAACCCAGAAAAAGATGTGCTCGTGCCTGATTATAAACTCAGCTCGCTCACAACCTGCACCTGGTGTCATGGGACCTCAGTACGCAGAGTTCGGGGTGACGGCTCTGTGGTGTATTTGGACGGGGACCGCACTAACACTCCCTCTCAAGGTGGCAAGTGCGGATGTGGGTTCAAACACTTCTGGGAAGGAAAGGAGTACGACAATCTTCCCGAAGCCTTCCCGATCACTCTGGAGTGGGCTGGCCGTGTAGTCCGAGAAACTGTTTATTGGTTCCAGTACGAAATTGATCCAACTCTCAATAGTAATGTATACGATGTGACCATGCGTCTCGTCACAAAGCACTTCCCTGGTGAATTCGGCAGCGAAATCCTAGTCCAGAAGGTAGTGAACACCATCTTGCATCACACCGCAAAGAAGAGCCAAGATGAATACAACCCAGTTGCCATCGAAGGTGCTCACGTGCAAAATAAAGTAGACGGAGGTGAATCTTCTGCTCACCCTCCGACTAAAATCATCCTGACGGGACAGAAGGGAAAAACTCTCCATAAGGAGGAGCTGGTCATGAGCAAAACCGAGAGGGTGTTGCAGCACAGCATCAGCGAGCAGGCTGCCCTCTCCCAGCGCCGCAGCACAGATCGCGTGCGCCATCAGGACCCTCGCCCATCATCTCCTTCCTCTTCATCATCCTCCGCTCCTCCCACTCCCACCAAAGTACCCCCAACCAGCGGAGAGAAGAAGATCCGTGTAACCACCAGCGACGGGAGGCAGGCCATGCTTACTCTGCAGCCGCACACTACCTACAGTGATCTCCAGAACTCAATCATCCAGGTCTTCAACTTGTCGCCCGGACAGCTGTGCATTCGTCATGGGTTCCCGCCCAGAGAGCTGCCTCCACCACCTCCCGAAGACCAGAACCGGCCCGTGGCGCTTCAGCATGGAGATCGGATTTCTGTGGAGGTGCTGAAGGAGAGCTCTGCGGATCCTCAAGTAACCCAAACACACACTCACAGCCCTCAAACACACGCTCACTCCGACCCACGCCTCAGCCACAGCAGTAGCAGGGAACTTCAGGACAACATTGACCTTGAGATGTCATCACTGTGTCTCCTGGCAGCACTCATGGGTAAGAAACACACACTCACACTCTTCTGTAAGTGATATGCTGTATGAGATTACTGCAAGACTGTAGAGTGTCTCATACTAGAAGTAGCATCTGCAGTGCATAAGTGTTTGGATTGTGATAAACACCCATTGCTAAAATTTTACACATCACAAGATTTTTTAAATACTTTATTTATATGCATTTTTAAAGATTTACATAAAACAATACAGAAAAAAATAAATATCTTGAACCTTAATTATTCTCGGGGCTTTATTAGAAGAGGGACAAAGCTAACTGTTTACATATATAAATCAAACAAATACACAGCAGTCCATTTATAGATAAGATAAAGGGTGCATACACAACACCATCATAGCAGTAAAACCACAAAAAAATATGTTTTAAAATAGCCCACAATAAGCCAAATCCACAAAGAAGTCTGCCTAATTATTACAATTAATATAGATGTAAAACCCCTCACTACACTCTTTAGAATGAGATGTATGAAATGTGTATTTATATAGCGCATTTATTGTGTATGGCCATATACCTAAAGCACTTTATAATCATGAAGGGGGGGGGTCTCTTCACACCGCCACCATATACACACTTTTATACACTTTTTCCACACATGAATGAACATTTTCACACTTTTCTCTCGTTTAAACACCCTCTCAAATAGGCATGGGGCGATAACCGTTTCCAAGAGTGTTGATCTTATTCTTCAATGCGGTAGTGCGCTCATTTTTGCGATTGTTTTAAAACTTCCAATTGCCTATGGGAGAAATGACTAGGAATAAACTGCACAAAACTGTCGTATAATAAGAAAATATCAGTTTGCAACATCAAGCAGCAGAACGAGCTGTTTTTAACATCTAAAATTAGTGGAATGAGACCGGAAGTCTTGAGCCAAAAAGATTCAAATGGCTGTGCCCGCTCATACGCCAAGAGTAAGGTGAATACCGCTGTTTAGAGAAGTCAAGGTTTTAAAACAACTAATTTTTAAATCATTTTTTTACGTTTTGTTTTCATTTTTTAGGACAGGATTTGGGATTTTTTCAGTATCTCCAGCAGAAAAGATATACAAAGATGCTGTTTTTAAATTGCAAAAAAAATCTGTTTTTGAAACAACCGAAGACAGCAGAAGTCAATGATTCAATTTGAGTTATTTAGCCTGACATGTTTACTGTTCCAAAATATTATAACTATTTCCCAAAATAAAGTATATAGTGTTCAAAGCGGGAACAGAAAGGTTTTGTTTATTACCCAGACATTTAAAAAGAACTTATTTTAGAGCAATAATCATAATACCGGAAAACCGAGATATTATTATCCAAGGTTATCATACCATCAGAATCTTTTATCGGCCCATGCCTACTCTCAAAGTTCAAACCTTCGTAGAAAAATAAATCCAGTACTATAGAATGAAACCAAAGATCAGAACCATTTGATCTTAATTTATCTATTTTGTAATGGCACCATACAGCCATGTAACTTCTACCTTCCTTTAGCATGTCCAGAAGTCCAACTTTTATCATATTCCTCTGCTTTTGACGGTGCAGAATGTTTCGGCAACATTGTAGGGAGAAAATTTGCAAACATACAGTTCAGCACTTCACACTGCTAGTAGGTATTAAAGTTTGGTGAACTGAACGCATTCTGTACTGTACAGGAGACACGGCACGGAGGAGATTGATTGACAATGGTTTACAGCCAGTCAGGAGGACACAGAACACAATGCTCTGTAGAAAAAAAAAAAGCATGTCAAACTGCACAAAACAAAATCTCCAAAACTGCAGGGCTGTGATAAGTGAACCCTGTTATATCGAAAAATATACATGTAGACAAAGTTAAAAACATTTCAAAGCATTTCAGGTCAATTTTGATAAGGAATTCCTGATTGCTAAAACTTGCTTTATTGGCATGACAAATGTTACAAATGTATTGCCAAAGCAATACATTGAATGGAACACATGAAAACAAATTAAATAGTAGCTAAATAATAATAAAATTTAAACAATAATATAATAACAAATGGTATATTTAACTTTCAGCATTTTGGATTCAATTATAACCATCTCTCTTTTCTGTCTTCTCTTTCTCTCGCTCTCTCTCTCTCAGGTGAAGATGTCTGGTCATATGCCAAGAAACTGCCTCACCTGTTCCAGCAAGGAGGAGTCTTCTACAATATTGTGAAGAAAGACATGGGTAATCTCTTTTTTCTCTCTCATTCTGTCACACAATTTAAATTCTGCATTCAAAGTTCAAAATCATGCTTTAAAGGCACAACCACAATTGTATGTCCTGTCAGAAGTATCTGCAAAAATACTTTGTTAGGGCGGGAAAACCAGTTTAAGAACCAGTTCATAATAGGGGGGTTTTCTTTAAAAATGCTGAAGAATTTTTATTGTTTGTAGTGTGAAGTGAGTCTGTGTTAACCCAGATTTATATTTTTTCTGTCTGTAGCTGAGAGATCTATTGCAGAGGAGTTCAATATTTTATTTTAATCAACCAGGCTTTTTTTGTATAATAATGAATATGTAATGTAGGAATGGTATACAGTTTAACCCAAAGAATGACTAGTCTGTCAGATGAAGAAGAGCCGGAGTCAGAGATTTAAATAAATAATAAAGTTTACTGAAGATAGTTTGCAGTTTCATCAGCAGAAGCCAGCTTCAACACTCGCAATGAGTTCCTAGGCCGATCTGCTTACAATCACCAATCAATAACAATTATACTCTCACAAAACCTGATTGGTTAAAACAAAGATAAACTAGAAAAATTTCCACGTGGGGTTTGTGCGTAATTCTGAACATTATCATAAGCATAAACGTCAGACATCCATTAGACTGTTTAGAGCTGACTCCAGACCTGTGTAACGAATCCACAATCAAATAGAGCACAGTTTGGTGGCTCCTGAAAAAGTTACACAGAGATGGGCAAATGCACTGAACATTCTTACATTAAGCGGTGTGTTTAACTTATTCATTAGTTAAAATCATTTCAAAGTTACATACTCATTTAAATAATCAAATAATCATCTTTAATAAAGATAATGAGAAACGAGATGATGAAAAAAGGATAAACGTTGATTCATGCAAAGATGGATTGGAAGGTATAAATCCGAATCCTTCAGTTATTTGTGGTCAGAAAACAGTTTTTTTTTTATTCATTTTTTAATGATTTTTTTTCAACACAATCTCACAGCAATTCATAAGTCTCATTCCTACAATTTAGTACGATTTGCTCATCCCCCAATGACGGTTGGGTTTAGGGGCGGGGTTGGGTGCCACGCCTCCTTTTTAAAATGGTACATTTCGTATGACGGAACTCATACGATTCAGCCACTGAACTGACAAAACGTAAAAATAGTTACATTTCCTCGCAAGAGCAGGTTGTTATTTCATATTCAAGTCATATTTGTAAGGAATTGGATGCAAGCAGAGTATGGCTGTTTGTAAAGCATACAGCGCCATCTGTTGCTAAAAACAAAGCTTTGAATCTATTCAAGAGCAAATAACGGTGTATTTTAAAATAAGGGATTTCTAGTACATACATATTTTTTTTATTTCTGATAGATTTCACTAGCATAAACTAGAAAACATAATCAATGAAGCAGGTGTGTAATATAGTGTTGTACAACACTGGAATTTGGTACCAATCGATACAGAAATTTAAGAAACGTCCTTTTCCTGCTAACATTTGAGCTCTATTGAGCACGTTGTTAAACAGCGCTGATTTGCTGTTGTGTTCACATGCACAAAAGAAATGACTGTAAATGGCCGTGAAGGTCTACAGTTCACTGAACTCACGCTGTTTGCTGATTGTAAACACAGATACAGGGACTATGGAGAAATTTAGCCACGATTCATCAGTGGATTGCTCATATGTTAGCTTATAGACAAACCAGCAGATCGACTTGACTTTGAAATGCTCCAGTGTCCCTGTATCAGTGTTTAAACTCAGTAATCAGCTGTGAGCAGGGCTGAAGTTGGACTCATTTTCAGCCCTGGAGTTTCAAGCCAGACCGGCCCACCTCAGTTCACGACTGATTCCTATTAAGTTTCTAATTTCTATCACGTCTTTTTCAAGAAAACAGCTGCTTTAGAAATTCAAATGTGCAACAACCCTAAAGCCAGGTTTATACTTCTGCGTCAAGTGACCAGCGTAAAGCCTGATTTATACTTCTGCTTCAAGTGACCGGCGTAACCCACGGCGCATGCAACGCGCGCGGCTGTGCATTTATACTTCTGCGCGCTGTCTCTGTTGGTCTGCATTAACACTTCTGAAACGCTAGTTTGCAGTGAGGTGTTAATGTTCCTCTGTGTCGAGTTTCTTCGCTGCTTTTTTGCTTTTCCTGAACACTTCCGGGATGTACAAGTGGCTCAAACTTGCTCATTTTGAGGCAGGAACCGGCGGACGTGCAACAACTTTAACTATGAGGTAAACACAAAACAAAACTTTCTATCCAGAGCTCCTTGACGGGACTCCACACTTGTAAACAATCGCTGGCGCCATTTGCGTGGCTCTCGGTCCCGTCCAGACTCGTCAGCGCTACCAAGCCGACCAATCACAGAGCTTGCGCTATGCGTTGTTGCGACGTGTAGTTAAACTTTTTGAGAGGTGCACGTCAGTGACGCCGACGGCCATGGCGAAGGGCTATGCGTCAGCGCCGTAGCATACGCCGGTGTTTGACGCAGAAGTATAAATCAGCCTTAACAGTATTATATGTCTTTACAATAAAAATGAAAAAAAAATTAATAACAATTTTACAGGTGAGATTCGAACACGGGTCTGCGGCGTTGAAACGCAACATGCTTACCACTGGACCACAATGGCGCTATAATTATGGCTATAAAAAATAAGTAATGACTTGTGACCCTTAAGACACAGCACTACTTTCCTTTGATGGCTCAATCTTTTTCTCCCCTTTTTAGATTTCTGATCAAGTTATGTCAGATTTATTAATGTAGTAAATCATTTGATTTTAATTGAGCAGGTGTATTAATATCAATTATTCGGATTCTTATATTCACTAAGGTGCCGCTGTTTGGGGTCGATAGTTACATCATCATCATTAACGTTAGTTAACCTGCAGGCTGCATTTTGCTCACGGGGCTGCGAGAAAATAAATAAAAAGAGCGGCGCTGCGGCAAAATAATGAATAAAAAGAGGAAAGCTATGGTCAAATAAACAAATAGATGAAAAAAGTGCGACTGCTGAGAGTGCAAGCAGCTAGGGACACCGGCCCTCGCGGCCAATAAAACAGACCGGCCCACCGGGAATTCTCCCAGTCCTCCCGATTAGCCAATCCGGGCCTGGTTGTGAGTTTGGTAAACTGATGACCTTCACCACCAATTACAATCTTTTCTGTTGAGCATGTGAACACAATGGCTAATCAGCGCTGCTTAAGAACGTGCTCAGTAGCACTCACATGTTAGCGGGAAATGGACGGTTTTAAAACTTTAGTATCGATTGGTACCGAATTCCAGTATCATGACAACACTAATGTAATATCATCATGTATGTTAGCTATTACGCTAATTTTCTCTATATTTATGCAAAGGTCTCCTGGACGGGAAGCACTGCACACTGCCCCACTTGTCGGGTAAGACGTTTGTGTTCAATGCAACCGAGGAGCGTTTGGAGCTGTGTGTGGACACAGCCGGGCATTTTCCAGTGGGCCCGGATGTGGAGGAGCTCGTCCAGGAGGCCCTTTCACAGCTCCGCTCAGACGCAGCGTCTCGTAGCCGCGAGGGAAGTCCCGCACACAGTTTGCGTCTGGGCTCCGGTGGTGCCGTACGCAAGAAGGAGCAGAACATCACTGCCTTCCAAGGTAAAGGGCACTCATTAGGTTCGGCCCCTCCTGAACATCCACCAATCAGGCGGCAGCACAGCAGCGGCGTTGACCTCAGCGGCAGTGCCCGCGGAGAAGGGTTAACGTTGTCAGGGGAAGATTTAGTGCGTGTAGCTCCAGGCATGCTTACTTTACGTGAGGGCCGCGGGATGGGGCTGGAGCCCGCTGTGATTGAGGCCCAGCGTCAGCGCTTGCAGGAGATGGTATCTAACATACAGGCGTCAATGGACAAACATTTGCGCCAGCACACTGCAGCAAGGAATGATGGGAAGGAAGAAGAGACTCCTGACAAACCGGAGGAGATGGAGAGTCACGGGCCGGAGCCTCCCAACACCTTTGAACCGATGGACCAATCCTGATGCTTCATATACCCTCACAGCAGAGAGTGAGCTTCCTGGCATAACACACACATGCATAACACACTGTGATCCAACTAACAAGTAATGGTGCAGCCGATTTACTGACATAAGCGTCTTTTTAGTGTAAAACGCATTCCTTACATTTTCTCAACGTCTTACGATGTGAAGTCTGGAGTGGTTATTTATGGGATAGAGTGTCGGCTTTCATCACCTACTATATATGTATGATGCACACTAATTCAAAGAGATAATTCAACTAAAATTGATGCAAACGTCTAAGGTTTACTCTCTGTGGAGGACAAAACCTGCAACAACAATAAATAAATAAATACACAAATAATTAAATAAATAAATACACAAATTCCTGGATAAAACAATTAATACGCAAATAAATAAATACACAAATTCTGCATAAAACAATAAATACACTAATAAATAATAAATACACAAATTTCTGGATAAAACAATAAATACACAAATACATTAAATGTATATATAAATCTTCAAAATCCTGCATAAATAAATATATAAATAATGAATTTAAAAAATGAATTTTCAGTTTAGCATTTTCTTATTCCCCCAACATCTGTGTAATTTATTTAATCATTAATCAGCCCGCACTATTTATATATTTATTTTTACAGGATTTTGCAAGGTTTATATATATATATATATATATATATATATATATATATATATATATATATATATATATATATATATATATATGTATATATATATATATATATGTTACTTATTTATTTGATTATTTGCATATTTATTTTATTTATTGTTTTATTTATACCAAAATTTGTAGATTTTTTATTTATTTGCGTGTTTATTTATTGTTTTTGCAGGTTTCGTCCTCCATAACTCTCTTCGAAACAAAAAAAATGCTATTTTATGGAATGTTTTTGCATTCAAACACTCAAAACATGGCTCCTTGTTCAAACTACTTATTTAAAATGACCTAAATCAACACAATTATTAAAATTTTAACTTAATTGTTTTATATTTGATCCCCTCAATTTATAAAAACAATTAAGATAACTTAATTTGTGTTGGATGAACGAGGAATTACATGGAACCCAGCATGTTTACAGTGTACAACAAACCTCAGTGATGTTCAAAATGACACTGGAACATAATGACTTTCACTGCAAAAAATGTTCTTACTTTCGTCTGGTCCAAATATCTTAAATCAAGAAGCATTTTCTAGACAATTTAAAAGTATTGTTATAATTTCAGAAATTATAAGTCTAAATTAAGTGAGTTTTCCTTAAAACAAGCCAATAGGGTGAGCAAAATAATCTTATTTCAAACCAAAAACAACATTATTTTTCTAATACTATACTGGAAGATTATTTTTCTTGTTTTAAGAAAACTCGCTTAATTTTTACTCATTATTTCTGAAAAGTAAGTAGAAAAACATTGCAGTTTTCAGAAAAGACAACTATTTAGTGTTCCACATAGTCTGGCTAAGATGCAGGTGAATAAATGAATGATTTTCTTTTTTGGTTGAACTATCTCTTGTAGATCACTCTTGAGCTTCGCTGGTGTGAACATGCAAAGTACTTCAATAATCAAAGTGCACTTTGACACGCATTGCTGGATTCACAGCTCTGCATCAACATTATTACAAACTAATTTGAATCACCGGCTGTCTAAACTTCAGTCTGTGTGCACTTATTAAGTAACAGGGCCTCCTTCATCAGAATTGTTTTGTGTTTTCAGCACAGTTCTGGCCTATGGAACAAACCTGGTGTCGTCTCAGTGATACAGTTGTCTTTGGCACTTCTCCACATTGTACTACCCATTGCTGTCTTATCCAAAGAACACTACACGGTAAAAGTCCTGAAATAAAATCACCTAAACATCTCACTTCACAGTCAGAGCTCAGAAAACCTCTCTCAGCGAATCGGCATGGAGTGTGTGTCCATCTGAGCGCCAGTTTCTGTTGTGTAATCTCAGATTGGCCTTTGAACTCTTATCAGCCTTGCCTTCAATGCAGTTGTTCAGGCTCATCGGTTTTTGGTTTCGTTGTGTCCTTTTTTTTCTTTGCATGTCCGCTTCCTTTTAACACAAGGCAATTCACACAAGTTTACTTAGTATGAAGAATGTAACGTAGATTTTGGCTCAATCTGAATGGAAACTAGCTGAGATGGTAATATTTTCAGCATTTTCCTACTTCTATTATTATTATAACTTGTGTTAGGCTGTACTAAAACACTGAAGTAGAGGGTGATGTGTGTCAAGGATGGTTTTAAGCAGTGTTTCTCAACCACGTTCCTGGAGGACCACCAACACTGCATGTTTTGGATGTCTCCTTCATCTGTTACACTCATTACAGGACACTTTCAGTCTCTGCTAATAAGCTGATGATCTGAATCAGGTGTGTTTGGTTAAGGAAACATGGAAAATGAACAAAGATGGTGGTTCTCAAGGAACATGGTTGAGAAATGCTGCTTTAAAGGCTAAGCTTAACCTGAAAATATTATTGTGGATTATTTATTCACCCTCATGTCATTTCAGCCAAACTTGTATGATTTTTTTTTCTTCATCAGAACACAAATGAAGATTTCTATATCAAAAATGAGTGATTTTCATCCAAAATAAATTCTGTTCAGCCAAAACTATAACATTTCAATATGAAAAGTCAAAAAAAAAATTCTGAACTATTACATTTTTAAATGTTAGAAGCCAAAAAAGTAATCTAAACAAGCAAATTTTAAGTATTAAAAGTTAAAAAAAAGCTATTTCAAGCTATATCCGAAGAAAAGGGACGTCTTTTTATGATGAACATATTTAATTATGTTTTTAGTGAAAAGTTAAGCATGCTCGCTTGATGCACAAGAGCCAGCGAGGTTCATTCTGGCATCTTACACAGCATGTTTGAGCTTCTGCAAGAGTCAGTGAGGTTTGTTTTCCACTGCTAATGTTTTGTGGACCGGAGACTAAATTAAACATGCTTGCCATATGAAGCGATTATGTGTCTTTGAAAGACTTGCATTAAACAGCTCATTTCACATAGGTTTATTTTTTTATCTCTTTATGAACATTTCGAAGCCTCTGAGATGTGGGTGAAGATGCTCATAGAGGAGGGAAATAAATCTCTCTTATTTGATTCACAAGATCTTCATTTGTGTGCAGAAGACCAGAAGAAATGTATGGATTTGAAACGACATGAGGAGGAGTAAATGCTGACAGAGTTGTCATTTTTGGGATAAAAATAGTGATGATAATAATAATAATATCGCAATAAAAAAGTTTTGTTTTGTTTCAAGTCCAAATATCTAAAAATTCTTAAATCAAGATGCATTTTTAAGACGAGTATAAAATATTGTTTTCTGGAAATAGTCAAAATTGAGTCAAATATCTTATTGCAAACCAAAACAAAAATTGTTTTGATTGCTTTAAGGAAAAACATATTTAAAGGTATAATTCAGCCTAAAATGAAAAATCTGTCATCATTTATTCACTCTTTAGCTGTTCCAAATCAGTTTGAGATTGTTCTGAATCAGAGAAGAAGTTTTGAAGAATGTTGTAAACATGTAACCTAGTGGTGTCCAAACTCAGTCCTGGAGAGCCGGTGTCTTGCTGAGTTCTCTAACTTGCTTCAACACACCTGCCAGGAGGTTTCTAGTGTGTCTAGTAAGAGCTTAATTAGCAGGTTCAGATGTGTTTGATTAAGATTAGAGCTAAACTGTACAAGACACTGGACCTCCAAGTTACGCCTGGGTTAAATGTTTACAACATTTTTCAAAATATCTTCTTTTATTTTGAACAATCTCAAACTGATTTGGATACCTATACCCATAGTAGAAAAATCAAATACTACTGAAGTCAGTTGTTCCAACATTCTTCAAAATATCTTCTTTTGTGTTCAACTGAACAAAAAAAAATCAAGCTAGTTTAGAAAACTCAAGGATGAGTAAATTATGAGATGATATTCTTTTTGGGGTGAACTGTCACTTTAATACTGACTTATTTCTGAAAACAAAATATTTTTACGGGTCTAAAAAATTCTTCTTGATTTGAGATATTTTTAGTTTTAAAACGAGACAAAAGACCTAGATTTTTGTCAGTGTGAGCATTTTTTTTTACATCAGACTATACCCATATTCTGCTATATACAATCTTCCCATGTCACCAAAAATCAAGTTTACAGTACAACTGATTACTGAAGCTGTTGCTCTTTGCACAGCGCTCACTGGATGAAAGCATGGGAGTCAAACTCCTACAGATTGTGCTGAACTCGTAACGAAACTTTGCTGAGCCTAACCCATTGTTGCCAAAAAAAAACAACAAATAAAAACAAACAGGTGTTCAGACCTGTTACTAACAGCCTTAACTAATCATCTCCCGTCCCCAGCTCTGATCTGCAGTGTCTGTGCGTGATGCGCTTCTCAAAAAAAGGAAGAACCGGAGTGTTGGTCAAAATCCAAACCAAGCATGATGGTGCTGGTGGCCTGATGAGCATTTGATTAGTTTCTTTTTTAAAATTAGTCTTGATTTTTTTTAAGTTGACAACATCAGAGCACTTTTCTGTGTGAGCGTGTTTATTAGCTCTTGAGCATTATTGATATTGTTGGTGTGAAGAGCAGCACAAAAGAGACGTTTTACTGCTTGACGTGACACAGACTCGAGCGCAGGCTGTTTCTCTGTGACTGCTGCCCTCCTGATATATTGTATTCCAGTGTACAATAGTGGTATATATTGTATTATACTTTCATCTGTACAGATATCGGATCTGTTTTGTTTGTTTTGCTTTTTTCCCCTCTTTCTGGATTGTCTCTCCTGTTTCTTGAATAAAACAGTTGGACGATTTTACGCAGCCGAGGAATCTGCTGTTTGCATGCTTGATTACTTTTCAGCCTAACAACAATAAAGATATTCCATGAAATGATGTGGGTACTGTTTATGGATTGCTTTATAACAGAGAGCTAATGAATGTTTCTATACTGTATCTATCTAATGATGCTGTTTGCAAATGGACCACATCAGTTTGTATTGGTTGCAGGATTATATTTAGTGATAAAATAATTAACAATTTGTGCAGTTTAAAAGAACTTTTAAGTTTAAATCTATTTTTAAAATATACCTGTAGTGAAAACACTGAATTTACATCATGGTTATTCATTAAGTCACATGATATTTCAAATATCTTTCTAATATGCAGATTTAATTCATTTTTTTTCAGGATACTTTGATAAACTGAAATGTATAAAGAACTGAATCTATTCATCATAAATCTTTATCTTTTATTTAATTATTAATTTAATATATTAATATTTTTATATACAAATATAATCAATTTAATAAATAAATATAAAACACTAGCAGTCAAAAGTTTGGGGTCAGTTTTTATTTCCATGTTTTGTTTTTTTAATTAATCTGCTCATCAAGGTGGGATTTATTAAATATAAAAAAATTGAAAAAATATTTATAAAAATTTTACATAACTGCTTTCTTATTGTATGTAGTTTCAAATGAAATTATTACTCCAGTCAATTTGCTGTTATTGCTATTACCATTAATAATAATAATATTAAATAATAATAACTAAGAGTGATTTCTGAAGGATCATGGGACTCTGAGGACTGGAGTAATGAAGCTGAAAATTCATCTTTAAAAGCGCTGGAATAAATGGTTAAATGATAAACTACTTTTGAACAGTTATTTTATATTGCAATAACTTTTTAATACAATTTTATAATTTGTACTGTGTTTTTGATTAAATAAATGCAGCCTTGGTGAGCAGGAGAAGCTTATTTTAAAACATTTAAAAATCCTACTGACAGCAAACTTTTGACCGAGTGTATATATATTTGTAAAGGTCTTACCTGCCTGCTGATAAGTTAAATAAATGATTGTTGCAAAAACTTTTTATTCAAAATAATAAACAATTACTGCCCCTAAAACTTTGATTAAAAAAAAATGAAAGTTGCTGTTTGAAAAATGTAATGCAAATGAATATTTTCAGTTATAAAAAATAACTGTATTGACTTGAACAATAGTTCATGCATTTAATTTATTGATTTACATAATTTATAAAAATGATTATATATTGTAGGGTATAAATTAGTGATATATTCTGTATTTATTATATTTCAGTGATTTATTTTTCTGCTCATTAAACCTGATTTCAATAAAAAATATTTTGTACATAAATAATACAAATTTGAATAAAAAATTGTGTTGCTCATATATATATATATATATATATATATATATATATATATATATATATATATATATATATATATATATATATATATATATATATACACACACACACATACATACACACACACACACAGTTGAAGTCAGAGTTATTTTCTTTGAAAAATCTTTGAATTTGTTTTCCTTTTTTTAATATTTCCCAAATAATGTTTAACAGAGCAAGGAAATTTTCACAATATGTCTGATAACATTTTTTCTTGTAGAGAAAGTCTTGTTAGTTTTATTTCGGTTAGAATAAAAGCAGTTTTAAATTTTTTAAAAACCATTTTAGGGTCAAAATTATTAGCCCCTTTAAGCTAGATATAAGATCCTAACCTGCCTAGTTAACCTAATTAACCTAGTTAAGCCTTTAAATGTCACTTTAAGCTGTATTGAAGTGTCTTGAAAAAACAGAAACAAAAACAGGGGGGCTAATAATTCAGGGGGTTTAATAATTCTGACTTCAACAACAGTATATATTTATTTATGTTTGTGTGTGTGTGTGTATGTGTTAGTTACAGAGAATACATAAAAACATTTTTTTTCTAGAACCTTTTTCTTTTATCTGCATATTTACCTAAATTCTGTTTTGTTTTGTTTTTTATTAGAATATTATTTCTTTGCTGTAATTGTGGCTAATATTAACTTTAAAACCGCTATAGCATTTTATTTCAAACAACATAAATAGGTTACACATGCACATTTCAAATATAAACTTGCCTATATACACACACACACACACACACACACACACACATTACAATTTATATCAGATAAAACCCGGCTAAATAAATACTCAAATACCTTTGTAGATGAATAATAGTGTGATGTCATTTCATAATAACTGCATTGTAAAACTTTGCAATCAAGATCACAATATTTACATGAGGGCCAGTAATAGTAAAGACTCCTTCCACCAGTTACCAAGACCCCAAACCCGAATCAGGACACCCAAAAAAGTCCTTTTCTGTCAACTGAAAAAGGAGCTGTGACAAACATTGGTGTCACGCTGTCCTATTTCTGCCGATCTGTAACCCATTTCCAATGATAAAAGTAGAGCTTTCGTCAGTCTGGGTGAAATGCCGGGTTAATGGAGCCAATTGAGCGCACGGCCTGTCCGTCGCTGCGCCGCCGCGGGCGAGAGAGCAGCCGCTGTAGTAACCGAGGAGAGCCCGCCGGTACCGCCGGCAGAGACGCGCGGCGGGGCAACCGGAGAGAGCGCCCTCTGGAGGTACAAACACCAGTCAACACACACATACTGTTGGTTTAATTAGTTACAAAGTCACTGTAATTCATTTATTTTTGTTTATTTTAGGTATTTTAATTTCAGTTTATTTTGCTGCTTGTTCAAAGTACTAATTAAAATGAGTTAAAACAACACGATTCTTGATTTTGTTTGGACAATATAATTGTTTTATGTTCAATCCACTCCAATTTGTGAACTTAATCGATTTGTGTTGGGACAACATTATTCATGTGGGACTAGGATGCGAATTACAGGGGGGTTTGGGGGGGATTGAACACCTTTAATAAACAATTGATACCCCTTGATAGACATCAAAACAAGACGTACAAAAGGGTCATGCATAATCGCGCCAATCAATGCTAGGAAAAATATAACTCAACAGTCTGAAACTGTCACAAAACAATTTTCTTGTAAAATAGGTGTTTATATCTGCATGCAGCCATAAAAATATAAAAAATAGACATAATTTGCATAGTCTGACCAACAGTATTCTCTAAAATAGTCACTAAATATCCCTCAAAATACTGAAAGACGTATACATTTTAGTAATAAATGAGATTTAATTTAAATACATTTAGAAATTTGATTTACCGAAGCATGTATTACCAAACTACTGTATTTTTCAATGTACATAAATTCAGCAGTTTCATAGAAGCAAAGTAATATATATTTATCAGAATAACACTATTTTGTCAACTAAAGTTGAAGAACATTCAAATTATTTATCAAGACTAAACATTGCATATGCTTAGGAAAAAATGAATGTTTTAGAAATTTAAATCAACACATGGCTTAAGTTCATTCATTTCAAACATTTAGTTTTTATGCACATATTGCTTAATAAAACTAAAGGTTACTGTTTGACTCAAATGTAATAAATTAAGGGTTTATTAGTGTTTTTTTGTACATTTATTTGGATTTTTAGTATCGGGTCAAATAAATAAATTACAAATTGAGCAACATAAGTAACTTTTCACACAAAGATATTAAAAAAGTTATTCAAGTACAATTTTAACAATGTAATTAGTGATAAGTAGTTACTTTTACTCAAATTACTTTTTTAAAGTAACTTACCCAACACAGCACAAAGCATAACCAATAAATAAATCAGAGTTACAAAATATCCTCAAGTCTCACCCTGCACATCTGCTGCGATCATTAGAAGACACTGAGCTCTGCGCCGGAGGAGTCACCATCGGCCTTAATGGATCCTGCTTCTACACAAACATAAACACATCATGTACTGTGGGAATGAACTTTTACAAAAACAGTACTTTTAGGACAGAAAAATGACTCGCTTTAGTGCACTTGTAGTTGTGTAATTTTTCTATATGATAACTCTTCTGTTATGAATTTTGGCCAATTCAGTATGCAATAAATATAAATACTAGAAGTAATACTACTACAGCTAATAATAATAATAATAATAATAGACATTCAAAATGTTAGGTTATGTTAACTCATCATTGGATCAATAATAAATCAATCCGATGTTGAGTATTACTTTATTTTGATGGTCCCTTTAATGCAATTTGTTGAATTTAGTTACATCGCATCTATATGCCAACTAATTCTCATTAGATTATAAGTAGACTGTTAGGTTGAGGTTGGGGTTAGGGTTAGTGTAAGTTGACATGTACTTGCAAAGTTTCTTATAGTCAGTTAAATGTCTGTTGAAGGAGCAGTATAAACAGTTAAGCAGACAGTCTACTAATACTAAAATTAGAAGTAATTGGCAGGTAGTTGCAATGCAACTTTTAGTCAACAAAATGTGCAACGGACCATCAAACTAAAGTGTTACACATTTTTTTTTTTTCAATTTAAATTTAAATTGGGTTTTTCCATATTTGACTCAGCCATGGATTAATACAACCTAAAATCTTAGTAAGAGTGTAAAATGTAAATTAAATTGAGATTTCCTACCAGCGCACTAAAGCCTGTCACCAACGTACTTCAAAATATCTTCTTTTTTTATGCAAAAGTGCAAAACAAAACAACTCATGACAGTACTCCTTTAAGCATATTCTTTTCATTATTTTACACATACTCTTTTAAATATGTTGAAGGGATAGTTTACCCAAAATCCATCTGGAAAGGCATCCGTCACATTAAACCTATGCCAGAGCAATTGTTGGTTCATTCATCTGTGGCGATACATGATAAATCAGGGACTAAGCCGATGGGTAGCAAGTAACTTTTGTGAAATTACCTTATTTATTTCCCCTCCTGTGTTTTTAATCCTGTTTGATTTTTTTTGTTGTTGAACACAAAATAAGATAATTTGAAGAATGTTTGTTGCTGGTTTCCAATGATTTACAAGTAGGGAAAAAGATACTATGTAATTATCATTTTTGGGTGAACGATTCCTTTATCTCTCATGTTTTGGAAATGTAATGCTCGATGTGCTTTAGGATATGTAGTGTTCTCATTGGTGCACTGCGTGTGTTGTGTATGCTTAAGTACCGCAGTAAAGCAGGCTGTGGGCAAGTATCCCTCTTTGCCACCATGAAGTCGCACGTAACACCAGTCAGCATTTTCCTGGTACAGCATTAATACAGCCTCCCCGACGCGAACACTCACTTCTTCATCACAGTCTGCACTGTAGTCTGCTGCCACATCCATCTCACATACACACATACGAAAAACAACTTCAAATAACTTCTCCATCAGTCCTAAAGCAGTAAAATCTGCTTTATTACATGATGCTGCAGTTTAAATGAGAAAACATGCGTTACCATTTCTCCTTGGTGTTTGAATATCACCCTCTTTCGACACACTGAAAGATTCAATCATTTTGCTGTAATATTTGTTGAACAGAAATGAAATGAAAAGCGAGCATGACTAGATGACTGACCTTGAGGAGAAAGCACAGTGGTGAACACTTCGAACTCTTCATGGCTTTGCATGTAGATCTGCTGCATGATGAAGTCAGGAAACTCAAACTTAATCCAAACACCTGTGCTTTGATTTGAATGAACGCTGTGGAGGCAAAGTCTCTGCTTCTCCTGGCTTTAAATACTCTTATAGACGCACACACATTAGAAGATCACGGTGAGGTGCTTTTCTGGGAAACGTCATCACTCTTAAATCTATTTAAATCTGTTCCGCTTCAGTTAAGTGTATAAGTGCTGCAGGTCACAGCTCTGATCGGCCAATCACACGCTTCCAGGAGCTGGAGTTATGATAGGCCAATCACTTGCGTTGGAAATTCTGTATTTACACTACTTCACTAAAACCTTTAAAGTAAGATTTTCTTTGTTAAAACACCCAAAATAACAGTAATACAGTGTTATACCGTATACACTCACCGGCCACTTTATTAGGTACACCTGTCTAACTGCTTATTAACGCAAGTTTCTAATCAGCCAATCACATGGCAGAAACTCAATGCATTTAGGCATGTAGAAGAAGGCATGTAGAATTTAGGCATGGCCAAGAAGAATTTGCTGCAGTTAAAACCGAGCATCACAATGGGGAAGTAATTTAAGTGACTTTGAACGTGGCATGGTTGTTGGTGCCAGACAGGCTGGTCTGAGCATTTCAGAAACTGCAGATCTACTGGGATTTTCACGCACAACCATCTCTAGGGTTTCCAGAGCATGGTCCCCAAAAAAAGAGAAAATATAGTGTGAGTGGAAGTTCTGTGGGCGCAAATGTCTTGTTGATGCCAGAGGACAGAGGAAAATGTCCAGACCATGACATGAACATTACAATGAGTTCACTGTACTCAAATGGCCTCCACAGTCACCAGATCTCAATCCTTTTGGGATGTGGCCGACCAATCTGCAGCAACTGAGTGATGCTATCATGTCAATATTAGTGAAATATATCAAGTTGAATATAAGCCACTTAGGAATCAAGGCACTTCTAAAGGCAAAAGGGGAACCAACCTGGTACTAGAAAGGTGTACCTAATAAAGTGGACGGTGAGTTTGAGTTTTACTGACTTATGTACTTACATTATCCCAAATGTCACGAGGAATGTTAAAATACAGAGAAATAAGTTATTTTAACAAGCGACACGGACTGTGTCCTGTGTGGCCAGACGACACCAACGATGTCCAGAAACACCAACGATGCTACAATAGGTTATGCATTCTATTAGACAGCACAGAGCAGCATTATAAGGCAGGATATAATGAAGAATAATAAACTCCCATGATTCTACTCCCATGGTGTCATAACACTGTGGCTGTGTCCAAAAACACATAATACCATACTATATAGTACACTTTAAAAAAGTATGTCAAAATTCAAGTACCCGGATGACCTACTACTTCTGGCGAGATTCTGAAGTGTGCATCCGATGCGCGCTACGCTATTCCATAATGTCCCATGAGAAAATTAATGAATTGGAGGGAGGCAAAGCAACTCACACTGGGGGAGTCACGTGATCATGACAAAATGGCGGATGTAGTACTTCCGAGATCCATTCATGCTCCTGACATTCTGAGTAGTAAATTTAAATTCAAATGCGGCACCTACTGAGTAATAAACGATTTCGGATGCAGCCTACACCTTTGTTTGTTGTGAATAAGCGCCCTCTAGTGACAAGAATTACAGTTCATTGACCTTATTATTCATCCATTGGAATATTTTTAGCTCCGGACTTACAGTCTCATTCACTTACATAGATATTTAGATGTTTAAAAACATTATGCTGCTTGATAATGCAAACTGATCTATTCTTATTAAGTTCTCCTTTTTCATGTACAGTCATGAACACACTTGTTTGTAGAGCAAGTAGTTTGACCGTTTTCTGCTGTTTATTATTCCTAGTCATTTCTCCCATAGACAAATAGTTCTGACGTTCTAAAACAAATTGCAAAAATGAGCACCCTTCCGCATCACAAAATAAGGTCAATAATTCTGCGTTAAATTCATGTGGATGGATCAGCAGTCAATTCCTTTTGTCTTAGGAAGACAAAACCGGATGCACACCTCGCAAAAAAATTATTTAAAAATTAGGTAAATAAATAAAAAGAAAAATAATAATAATAATAATAACAATACAATCGCACCTAGCACAAGAGCTGTCGTAGGTTGGCTTATTAGGGCTAAGAGTTGTGGGGGGCGGAGCCAGCCTAGTGCCACGAGTGTTTAACAAGTGTCAAGTCCCCTGGAGGAGCCCAAGATGGATGTCTTTTTTTTGTTTACCTGTTTTTGTTTTTGCTTAAAAGTTGTTGCAATTTAACTGGTTTCCACCTTTCTTTCCTGAATGAATGAACGAGTTTGAGCTACTTGTACAGTAAATTGGCATTGCCCCATTTCCAATGTAATCAAAAACCTACAAAAAAACTCAACACAGAGGAACATAAAAAGATTGAAAGCCCACTGTAAAGTCTAGATGGGATAAGCGGCCGGCCGGAAGTGCGATATGCACATCAATATAGCACCATGTTTTATGACACTGTTTAACAATAATTAATATTTTTACAGTACTGTGACGGTTGGATTAGGGTAGGGGTAGACAATAAAAAATGCAATTTATTGGTTAATTTAATAGATAACATAAACAATACTCGGTACAACTATAGTTTTTACATTACTGTGATGGTTGGGCTTACGGTTGGGGTAGACATTAATAAAATACAATTATTGCAAAATTTAATAAATAATATAAAATAATTTCATTAACTTCCGGCCGCAACCATATCTGATTTAGTAACAACCAAATCCCACTGCCAGCTAGCGTTTCGGAAGCGTTATTACAGAGCAAACAGAATGCAGAAGTATAAATGCACAGAAATGTGCAAGGTGGGATACAGCAATCACACAGTATAATTCAAGTATAATTCAGTCTTAATATGACACTACACGTCACATCAGTATACCAGATCAGGTTAAGAAGTCATACAGTTTTCATACTTTTTGGCATGGTATAATGTCTATGCTGGCTACGATTTCATCAAAGCTCCGCCCAATCACCCTGACAGCAGCACTGGCAATCAAAAGTCCAAAATCGCTTGTGGGATATAATGGGAAGCGGTTGCCACTTAATGGGTCACATTTTCAGATATTTAGATATTTATCCTGCAAACTGTTGCTTTATTCATTTCAAGAGTTCACACTTAGTTGATGATTGATAATAAAGCTTGTTTGGCATGCTGTCCTGTGAGAGAGAGCCCTGAGCTTTTAAGATCCTCGAGCCCTGGGCTCCCTCCCGTTGCATGGCGAGAGGGGAGTTTGAGCTCAGGTAGATCTCAAGGATTCTCCCCTTGCTTGTTTGTAGCTAGGTGTCGGATATTAATGGCTAAGAAGAGGTGTACTTAGAGCATGACTATAAATATTTTTTCTTCGAGAAGAACGAGCAAAACTCCGCACAGAAATGCCGCCTGGTTTAGAAGGGAATTAAAGTTGTGAGGCAACAATGCTAATCACTGGCCACCATGTCACCTCTTTGAAAGGAGGGAAAGTATGGTAGGTGGGGGGGGGGGGGGGGTCTTTAAGTTGAAGATATTGAGATGAGAAAACTCGAAATTTGTTTATAATTAAACTTCACTTATTGCAATAATACCTAGATTTCAAATAAAATCCCTTTGGAGATCAGTAATATTAACGAAGCACTAAGTATTTAGATCTTTCTGTTTATTGCATTTATTTTTAATACTATCATTTGGTGAAATTCTGTGAATAATAAAACATTTCAGATGAACATTTGTGAATAACATGAATGACTGAATCTGCATGAGTAAATCAGATTAGAAGGCAATTCAAGAAAAAAACAAAGGCAATTTAAAGTCTAATCCCGATTCTTAGATTAGACACGTTTAAATCCAACCTGTTTAAATCACTGATTAGCAAATTAGCCTTAAGGGTTAGAGTGAATGGCAAGTAAGGATGCGTACTGTGTGTGTATGGTTTGTAAAAATCTCATTATAATCATTATAATTACGTTTAAATATGCATACACCAAATGAGCATGCTTCATACAAGGAAAACAGTACCTGTGTGTGAGATCGTGCTTTCTAGTCTTATTAAAAATGCTCGACCCACTCACCACTGTGAAAGGATTAAAGTTCATTGGGGTTAGTGTTCAGATCGGTGTCTCTGCTTATATAATGAAAACAGTGCAGCTAATTAGAGGCTGAGCTTCTAAGAACCTCGTCAATGTGTTAAAGTGTCCTTCAGTTTGCTTAGTAGAGCTTCATGGAGGCAGCAAATAGACCCGTCAGATCCTCTTCAGTGTGAGCCCGTGGAGACAGTTTAGTGACCCGCTCCTGCCAAAACACACACAAACAAACACATGTAATCACTCTGTGAGATGTAAATGTACAATGCACAAAGCAAGCACACAACATACAATGTCATATTATTCAGGTAATCATAACCAGGGCTTAAAGTGCAACAACTGAATGCAAAAACTGCAACCTGCTATGACGTGTTGCATTATAAAACATGCATATAGTTTTATGATAATTTATTTATATATGGTGCTAATTAGTAGTCATTAAAATAAGCATTAATGATATGCAGCTTGTATATAGCATTTTTAACTGTACATAATAGTCTTAAATGTAGGAGGAGGAACAGTAAAAGTGCAAAACCTTACCTTTGGATAGAGATTAATTCCATTTTTATTGATTTATTTATTTATGTACATTAGTTTGAGATCAAATGCTAACTGGCTGGCTGATCCCCACTAGAAGACAGCTGAATGACACATACAGTACATAAAATATATATTCTCATGATTCTATTTTTAACACCTCACTAACCTTTCATTCACAAATGTCCAGTTTTAAATAGTAAGACAATTAATATTAGGTTGAAATAATTGACATTATGTAATTAATGTTATTCTATGATATAAGCTGATCAACATTATACATATATATTTCAAATAAAGAAGCATTTTTTTGTAATTTCTCATACATTATTTGACGTAAATAGAATTATACATTTTCCCACTATTCTTCAACCCCCTAGATTTTACCCGTATTTGTTCATTCATTCATTTTCTTTTTGGCTTAGTCCCTTTATTAATCTGGGGAAGGAACCGCCAACTTATTCAGCATACGTTTTACACAGCGGATGCCCTTCCAGCTGCAACCCATC